ACGTATTCATAACGTTTGTGTATTTTCCTTAACAATATTATCTGTCGTAAAAATATTAGAGTAACGTTCTAAACGAGTGCTGTTTGCATTAATTCGACACTAATGAGTGTGAGTACTGATTCATATTCTTTACTGGTAATTGCCTATTATTTCTAGTTATTAATTAATAAACGAGACAGGAAAATCGCAAATTATTTTACTAATAACTTATGAGTACATACATAATGATGGACAGATAAATTTAACATTTTTCCTGGTATGCTGGGGTCGTTAGTCAGGGGCCTATTTGCCGTTGGAAATGGATCGGAAGTGCGGAAGTGAAAGCTGTCAACAGCGAGTGGGTAGATATTTCCCATTGCATGCGCGACACATCGATACTGTGATGAAACAAGCTTTTAGGCCTACAATCTTTTGAATTCGAATGGTAAAGACCTAGGGAGTAGGAATCATCTCAAAATAAGGAAAGCAGTGATATCGACGCTCAGGGGTAGGGTGGCAGAAAAGCCGAGATCCAGGGATGGCCGATCGTTGTAGTACCCCTAGGAGTAGACCATTCTTGCTGGTGCGCAGCGAAGCTGGATCAACGGAGATATAATATTTTCGGTCAAATGCGATCTTTACGTAAATAATGATTTTAGACTTGTTGTCTTAAGTCGAGGTAAGTGATTTAAGTAGTTGATAGTCTTTTAAATCTAACTTCATTTGAAAGAGCTGCAAATTAACAAACGACCTTGTCAGCAACTCAAGCTTAGCCAGTTACACGGCGTATAAAAAGTGACTGTTTTTGCCTAGTAACCCTAACCGCGTCGCAGATCTTCCAGCGTCTCGAATACCTAAGTAAGTTTTGAATTATTCAACATTTTTATATTTCTTAGCTACTCTCTAGCTCTGGCTGAAGCCTCGGTAGATTGGTCCACGCTCACCGCGCGCGAGTCTTGCTGTCAGTATGTAGACTATGTAGAGTTATAATGGCCCGATGAAACTGGTTGAATTTTTATATGCACCTATGACATTCGTTCCTTTCCACAAAAACGACGCATTTTTCGAAAGGTGAAAAATATCTGCAACCTCAGATCATTCTATGATCTGAGTCTGCAACCCTCTGGAGAGATCGTTATCAACCGAATGCCCATTCATCATAAAAGTAAGCACTATATTTAGACGTGTGATGGATTAACCTACTTAAATCCTATTTTTTCGTGGCCGATTTTGGGTCAAATCGACATTTTATATTAGGTAACAAAGAATGGTATTTAAGAGAAAAGGCTACATAATAATATTTCCAAAATTACTTTTGGTTTTGGCTATCTATGCTCGATATTTAAATGTTTCATAATTCAATTAAATTAGTTAAAGGGAAGGGTTGCGAATGTATTAAGGTATGTTTATTGTTAAAACGCAAACAAACCATTCTTAGCTAAATAGGCCGAGTCTGAATACGTAATGCAGAAAGGTCAAAGTTGCTTTAGCACACCCACAGTCGCGCAAATAGCGGAGGCGGCAGCGACGCAAATTAATGACTATTTCTCAATTATGCGTACTCTACCGTTAATATGCTTACTGCTCTACCATCGATAGATACTTCTCAAATACCGAAGATTGCATTTGATGCATTCCACATCAGGGGAGGCTTAACTGCAGTGATTGATGTGGCAGAAAGAAACTATAAAGAACGTTTAAAAAATGTCGCCAAAAAAAGATCACGAGGAATAGTCCATCCTAAATAAAAATCTTAACTGCTGGCCTTAACANAGCACTGCTGGCCTTAACATCCTTCGAATACACGTCAAAATTGGTGCAAACATGCACCGAGACACTGAATGCACTGGGAAATACCAACAAAGTAACGCTTACATGGGTACCAGGACATTCGAATATAGAAGGAAACGAAGTAGCAGATGAACTCGCCAGAGATGGAGCCGATAACCCTCAAATCGGCGTAGAACCGTTCTGTGGCATTACCAAACAACGAGCCACCACGCTACTAACCGCCCTCTGCAAACAAGAGGCTATTGAGTGGTGGAAGTCTACACCGGGACAAAAACACTCAAAAGCACTCATTCAGGGATATAGCAATAAAGTAACTAAGGAACTGCTAAAGTTCAAAAGATACAAAGCCTGTGCAGTGACTAGAATACTGACCGGCCACTGCAAACTAAACAAACATAAATCGAACATGAACATGACCGAGGAAACTCTGTGCAGATTCTGCCATACAGAAGAAGAAACGGCCATGCATGTTCTTTGCTCATGCTTCCCGCTTATGAGCAAAAGAAGTATCCATCTCGGGCGACACATCATGCACCCGGATGAGATAGCAGATATCACGCTCCAAAGAATCTGGAAATTTATAGACTCAACGGGACTAAGCAGTGAACTTTAAAGACAAGGGCTGCCACAATAGATCAAACCTGGTCGAGTTGGCGCAAATAAAGGCCCAAAAACCAATAATAAATAATAATAAATAAAAATCGATATTTTACATAAATAAAAATCGATATTAATTACATGACTAGATACCAGTTTTACTTGTAAAAAGTACTAGAAACTAGTCTCTTGATATCATCTATATGGGTGCAATATCGGGTTGCTATGTCATAATAGCTCATACAAGAAAAGTGAAGAAATTCTCACATTACGTACTTTATCACCTAGAACATATTTATAGTAATAACTGCCATAAAAGTATGAAGTAATAAAATTGGAAACGTAAAATTTTATTTTATGTCACCACCACCATACATAAATGTTTTGCTTTGTAATCCAAATGGTAAGTAGGTACCTACTTTTAATTGGAATTATCTATCATGTAGGTAGGTAAGTAGCTACCTACTTTTAGTTTGTGTTTAACCAAATAATTTAGGGACTTTTTTTCTGTGAAAAATTAAATAATACCATAAAATAACCTAAGAGTACCTATGTTTTTATTTATAAAAAAAAATTGAATAGTATCTACTACCTCATGACTATGCCACTGAAACAGTTCCAGTTAGATGAGTACATTGTGCAATGTGCATGCAGCAGACTAGTAGGAAAATAGGGGTACTAAAATAAAATAATAGGAATATAGCTATTGGTGATTGATTCACTTTACATTGTTTATTAAATGAAATATTAGTAAAACATGTCATGGTATGTTACAAGCCTTTAATCATATGATGATGGGTTTCGAGACAATTTATATTTTATTTTATTCATTTTAGAGCATTAAAAGCTAGTTTTTAANATAATAACCGTATGTAAACAGATTTCCGTATTGAAAATATATTTTCTTATTCGTAATAAATAAAATTTATATACGCTGGGGTTCTGTGAAGAGTTAAAGGATTTGTAATATCTAAGGGTAAACACCTTAACCTTCAAGCGGGCGCGCGGCGTCGAATCGACCGCGCCTAACACATTTTCGTTCATAACTTTTTTTTTACATGTTACACATATTTCTCATTTTTAGTAGCCTGTCGCTTGCTCATTGTGAGCGAAATAAAGACCTTATCTCAGCTCTCCGCGCTTTTCTCACCCCATGGCTTGCTATTGTTTTAGTCGCGGCGCCGGCGTCGAAAGCACGCCACGCGCCTGTCGTCGAAAAGGTTACGCGCGACTCTCTATGCGATATAACATTTCTTCGGCTATCACCCAATATTATTGAATTAAGCTTGCAATACTGTTTTTTCTTATTAAATAAGTCGTAGACTGCTAGTACAAAGTGAAATAACAGAGGCATTATTACGAAAAGATGAAAAAGAGAGTGAATCGGAGCTCAGAGACCAAGCTAAACTGAGCCAAAATTATAAAATTATGTTTTATCATTATTTTGCCATTTTTATCGTTTTTACCAGGTCTATGAACTATTCTGAGGTATTTTAAAACATTTTGTGTTTAAAAATTAGTTTTTGATCCAAATAATATTTTCGTCATGTTAATTGATTAAATAATTGTTTCTTTAACTTAATTCAAATTACTTAAGACTTAAATACAATCAAAATATATCTGCGTACAAAATAATAAATGATTATTGGAAAATAAGTGCTTTATTTATTTACTAGACCCCATAGGTCTTTTCGTTTACGCGCGACCGCTGCCGTTACAAAAGACCGCGCGCCCGCTTGAAGGTTAATAAGTTATTTTTCTTTCAATTATTAACATGACACATTTAAAATTATATTCACACATTACAAATAATACAGTAATTTGGTGTTTGTGTAAATATAACAACACTGATTTAAACTTTGATATATGAAGGTACAAAGATGTAATTCTTAGTATCTACTGCATTTTAAGTTGAATGTTAAGTGGCCGCATCTTACCTTAGCTAAAATCAAAGTTCGATCCATTGCGCAGCACCAAATTAAGTTTTAATATCATTAAATATTATTATGGGATTTCATGTGCACTAGGTAAAATATTAAAAGTTGCTAGAATACTTTGCATGTGTGAATCCTTTGAGGATTAACATAATTCTAATATTATATCCAACATTATTTAACTAGATGGATGTTATTTACCTCATACAAAATGCCTATTTATCTATTTATAGTATACATTTATTGTTTATGATGAGTTAATGACACTTCCTGCTTAACTTTGCGATACCTACTTAGTTGAATTATGAGACATTTTGTAACAAAATGTTCTAGCAGTACAGTTATTGTACTTGCAAAGCAGGAAAATGCAATTGAAGTAGCATTAGAAACAAGCTGTAAAATCTTGAAAAACATAAGTAACAAAAAATAAAATGTAGACCTAAACCTACTTTGTAAAAATTCAAGAGTAGATCATGTTTTCAAGTTGAAACATTGTTTATTAACAAGCAATGTAAAAATTACCATTAAAATAATAATGTAATTTATATGTAATAAATACCAATAGGACTCCTATTAGAATTTCCTAAAAAAATACTACTTGTGTAAATTTTAACTTACAATAAATAAATTATTTTATACACACACATTAGCGGATTTTAGAAGGTTAATGTTATAAGTTTTTTATAGCTGCGTACTTACCTATCATAAAATGCTGGCGCCTGGACGTCGTCACTGGAACATTATATAAGAATACGTTCTTCCCTTTTCATAAGTTTCTTTGATTTGAAATTGATAGCTAAGATCATCTGTGGAAGCTATATTCACGCACAGTAGGAACGAGGTGTTTCTTTTAAAAGTAGATCACTTACACTAAAACTAAACCACAATATCGTTAAGAAACTACTACACATAAAAAATCTATTCAAATTTTATAAAGGGGCAAGTAAGCTACTTGTAATCTTGATAATTCTATATTTTTGAGCTTTTACATAGACGTAGAAGACACTTGAAATGATTTTTACAACCTTGAGAAATGGCTGAGAAAAGAAAAAGCGGCGGATTTATCCGTAATCCTTTTCAAGTAAAAAGACATGCGGATTTTAGTGGAACTAAATTTTATGTATGAAATCTGACAGTAAACGTCAAAAACTGCATAGATTCATGCGCCACCGGGTGCCGCCGGTCTTCAAAATACGGTTGTGTAAAACAACCACAATATGNATATCTGTGTGTAAAACCATTTATCACACTAACAAACGTCAAAAGTTTTTTGTATTACGACACGATGACAGTTTAAAAATCGATACTTTTTTGTCAATTCTATAATCGATTACGCCAAAGATTCTATAAAATATTAATAACGTTATTAATAACATCATTAACGAAAGAAAAATGCAGCCAGCAACGCTCAACGAAAATTGAGGCGAAAACATACTCTCTATTTGCACAATGTAATATTTGAATAGAGAACAGAAATAACAACACATCACTCATGTCGACGCGTTGGAGTGAAAAGCAGTGTAAAAGAAGTATTCTTCAGGAGAAAGTTCGTGCTGTATTTTATTCTTGGTCTGAGGTGCTGTAAAATTTTTGAACGGCCACCACGCAGTCTTTTGGTTTTTTTTTGTTAATTTATATGTAAATATATTATTATTATATTTTTTTAATAACAGTTTTATAATCAAAACTGTTATAGTCTGTAAGATTGACTGAAATGCAAAAACAGGAGAAAAAAATGCAATACCAAGGTTTTCACTATAAGGCGACGATATTACTTATGGGCCGAGTGCGGGGGAGTGATAACAGCATCCTGAGGATAGAGAGAGGCAGATGATCCACATGCATCTATCTATGCTAAGGCACTTTGTGCGGACAGTGACCGAAGTTGCGATCAACACCTCCTCCAAGTCGAATCAGCATAGGCTGCCACTAAGGTACATGACTGATTAAAATAAAATATTCCTACCTGTTACTAAAACTAGTCATCATAAGTTATATTTTATTTGTACTAACCACAGATATGGATTAGAGTAGATATAATACAGCAAGTTGATCATAGAGAAAAGTTCCGATATGTCCAAATGGACATACATGGTCGAGTGATGTTGATATAATCCGATTACAACAATCGGTTACGATGATTTTACGAACACGGTAGAAAGAAAAAAATATTTACGGATTGAGAATTGCAAAAACAGCACAGCAAATAATAAAGAATAAAGTAGCAGTAGAAGATTAATTATAAAACAAGTTAGCTCAGTGATCGCGGAAGACAGAGTGCACTGTGTAACATCGAAATATAAAAAGTATGGAATTAGGTATGAATTACTAGTAGTATATTTAACACAATGGAATAACGATCTTTACTTTGATATAAAATATACATTAAGCACAGTAAAAATATGAGTTTTATCGGAATTAATTAATTGTCGAATCGTTTCAGACGATATCTTTCGATGACTTTGCGAATGCAGTACGATGATACGATTATTTTTATGTTGCGGCAATCACTAAAATTCGCTAAAATGACACTAATGGCGTTTAAAAACCTGAATGTCTCCAACTTCCTCATTGGCCCTAGAGCAATTTCAAGTATACCATCAATAAAAGCCTAATTAGAGTCATCAAACCTCTCAGTCATTCAATTGGAACCATTAGAACTTCATAACTATGAGTTGTTTTCTATGTGTAAGCTGAGGACACGTGTCTCCAGCTGACACATCTGTATCTTCGTAAATATTTATGCTATAGCCTGACCAGGAACATAAAAACCCTGGCATAGAGGCGCGTCAATTGCATTTGATAGTGCAACACTGAGTACAGTCGTACCTGTGTTAAATTAATAGGCTAACTTTATGTATCAGGATTCAGGATTACGGGCTAATTTGATATTTTCATAAGTTAACGAAAAAAGATTATATTATAGGTAACCTGGTTTAAATAAATTAAATGAAACCATCAATCGAACTAGTAGGATTTATTTTATTATTCATCAATAATCAAATTCAGAACTTGAATATTCAACTGCAATGTCTGCTCATGAACGCTTCAAACTCGGTACTTCTTTCCATAAAATTCAACACTTACAAAGTGACAAAAAACTTTAAATTATGTAGTTGAAACAAACCACAGCTAATTTTCATAGTTGACTGTACTATGCGATAAACATCAATGAAAATATTGTCCGAACCTGTCCGTACCCTTAGTATTTCTCTTCGACAAATACTTTAACACATTGTGAACCACTTTTCTTTCACGACTATAAAAAGTTTTTAGCAATTTAATTCAGAAAATCAATTGCACACATTTATAATAAAGTTTGTTTACACTTTGACAGCAATAGACTGACATGCAAGGTGACATTTCAATGAAGTTTTCAGTTATAGATGACCCACGCTGAACTGTCCCGCCAAACTCAATGACAGGGGGGCGCTACCATCGTTCAACTATATGGTTTCCAACATGGCAAAAATCTGAACCAGCGATCCGGTATTGACGGTGGCGCCCCACTGTCAATGTCATCGACAGGACAGTCCAGTATTTTGGAACTATACTGTTACCATTAAAAGAAATTAGTACCATTAATTTTCCGCAACATGGCGAGGGTTTTTATGTTCCTGGTCAGGCTATACGATAATGTATTATACCTCAAAAATTACAGTCGAATCCAAATAGTAGGCTTTCCACTTTTCAAGACTTTAGCTCAAATACTGTTAAAACCATGATCAAAAAACTATGTGCGAGCTGGAGTACTGCAAACGAGACAGAAAGCACTTAGCAGTCCGACTACCTAAGAAAGAAGCGTAGACGGATACAAAAATCTTTGCTGAATGTTGATGGCCTCAACTCTTGTTGCACGCGACCTACTTATAATAAATGTTGCGTTGTTCAAGCAGACACCGATTACATAGACATTAATTTATTGTAAATCTGGATAACTGTTAACAGATAAGTTCGGTTTATAAACAACGATTGCATTTTTTTATTTTCTAATAATTATTCAAACAAAAAATATTTTTTTTCTCTCTGTAGTATTGTTATATTATCTTTGCTTCAACTATGGGGGCGTTTGGCGGAAAATAGCACTAGCTATATAGTGCTAGCAAGTGAAATGGCGTCCTTTAAGCGGTCGAAAAGATGTATGGAAAACGTCACTTTGGAAGTTTAACAAATGTGTCCCAGCCGAAAACATGCTAAAGTTTTCGGCGGTTGCCATGGCAATAGCCATTTTGGTAGCAAATTCTAACAATGCTAATTATCGGCTGAACGCAGCTTATGTAGTGTCAATCAAAACTGTCAATGTCAAAAAATGATGTGGGAAACCACCACAATCCATATCTGTGGNTATGTGGGAAACCACAGTGGGAAACACAAATAATTGGAAATTTGGAATTTTGTAGTTTGTTATCACAGTTGTAATTATTGATTATTTTCTTCTTGATTTAAACGAAATAATTGTAAGCAATCATGGATACTGTTGTTAAAAGTATGTTGGAAGAGGAACCAGAAGAGGAGAAAAAGGTAAACTGATTTTCTTAGAGACTTACGTAGGTATTTACATTAGAACCTTATTATTAATAGAAGTGTTCCGATTACGACACAAAAGATAGGGATTTAAGTTTAATATAGATGACTGATGGACTGAGTTTCTTCTGCCACTTCTTCTCAGCTACAACCCTCAAATTGTCCCGAAGTGGTGGTTATATTTTGAGACGTGTAGAAGGCCTACTTGTAAAAAAATGTAATGACTTTTTATAACTTGTTTCCATTTTTCTATTTCGTCCTGTTTGGATTTTCTATCTCTTACCAAACTCCTCAGATGACACTTGCTTGTGTTGTGCTGTAAATCTGATAGTAGTAGGTAAAAAAGATTTAATTAAAGTAATCTTTGTAAATAATAAAAATAAAATAAGTAATAAAATTGACATCACAACATCGCCTTAAATTATCGCTAGCCCTATTCCAAACACACTGTATATGTTTAATTTTTTTTTTTTATTAAGAGCTGCAAAACAACTACTATGTGCCAAGTAGGACATCAACATCTACACATGAGACGACATCTTCATATATTTTTTATTATTTTCAGGGTTTAATGTTTATGGGACGAGATTTGTCGAAGATACCATGCTTCCGGGAAAGTTTCCTTTATGGCATTGCATCAGGAGTAGGCGTTGGATTAGCGGCTTTTCTCAAGACTTCAAAGCCTATGATGTCTCAACATATTGGGTTCGGAACATTCACTGTATCTACTCTAGTCTATTGGGCATACTGTAGGTACCAGTGGTCCAGACAAAGATTTGACGCACAGTTGCTACAAGAAGCTTTGAAAGACAAAATAAAGTATGAAGGGACTGTTATTGAGAAGGAATTAGAATCAAAAGGTGTTTTAAAGTCAGCGTAGGCATTTTCTTTATATGTAGTTCATATTGAGCCAAGTATAATTTTGCTTACTTTGTAACAACTAAAGTTTGGCAAAATTGAATATTTATTTATGTACTTATCCCATACTAAATAAGCATTTAGACATGATGCAATGAAGTTATGATTATGATATAAAGAAAAATCTTGACTTTCCTGATAGATTACTCTTGTAGGCAAATTGCCATGTTAATGTTCAGTGTTGCCTGGGACTTCTACATTTATTTAATTATAGACTGGATTATGTAAGTACTGTAAATTGTGTATCTATTGTAGTTATAGTAAAATAAATATTAAATCATTGAATTAGAATATTTTGAGTTTTATTCATATTTGTTTACATCGGATTTAAAATATTATTATTATGTATACCCATTTACCTAACACCCTGTATATTTTAGTTCCTCCACATAATGCGGTTGTTGTTTCAGGTTTTAAATTCCCACTTCTCATCTAATCCTCAATCTTAAGAATCTTAAGTTCTTTACTAACAGGTAGGTAATTTTGTTTTATTTTTCTTTATACAGTGTGAGTCACGTTAAGGTGTACATATGAAAAGAGATGAAACTAGACCTATTCTTATCGACAAAAAAGAGGTCAAAATTTTTTTGAGATTTTTTTAATTTTTTTATATAATTTTTTTTCTTTCAATTACTTATTGTAAAGAAAACGTAATAACTTTTAAACTAAGCGGTATATCCGGATAAAATAAAAACAGTAATAATGCTAAATAACAGGCGATACTAAAAAAATACATAAAATACACAAAAAAGGTTAACAAATAATAAAAAATGAGACTTTTTGAAAAAAAAAAATGCTTTTAAATTCGTGTTTTTTTGGTTATTTGATAAATTTCTCCAATAAATGCCCCTATAACCGGTGATTTTTATTACTTTGTATTATTCTCTATCTTATTACCTTCGTAAAACCAAAAATCGCATATCTCTATCCCTATCACAACGTTTGCAATGATCGTTTGAACAAAGGACTGCCACAACATTATTCACGATGATGAACATGATACAGATCCAACACGTAGAGGCCGTTTGAAGCGCAAAATAATCGACAAAAGTGAAAGTGGTGCACATGCTAGATCTAGTCTCTGACTATGTTATTATTATTACAGTAACTTAATCGATTTACGTAAAGAAAGGTACGAAATGAAGCCTTTTTCTTCCTCGGTCATAAGCTGTGTGGACCGCACGATGAAATTGCAAACTTCCGCTCACAGTGTCTGACCATCTCGTCGGTGCCCTGCCCCGAGCACGTCTGCCTTCCATTTTTCCCAAGATAATTTGTTTCTCCAGACGATGCCTTGGAGACCGCATAACGTGTCCAAAGACAGAGGGTACGCTTTAGGCATATACCTACTTAGTGGAGAGTACTGGAGAGCCGCGTGGTGATGTTGAGCTCTTTTAATATGGACTCGTTGGTTCGCACGCATGGCAGTCCAAGGAATGTGGAGTAATCCACATATTATCTCAAACGAATCGATCTTACTGCTATCGAGGCTTCTCAGGCTCGCAAGTTTCAGCACCGTATATAAATATGGAGATTACCAGGGCTGGGACCATTTTTTTTTCGTCAGGAAAATACATAGATTTGTAGGTAGGTATACCCACCAGCCGCGGGGGCAGTAAGTGGGTTATGTGGGGTTCTCCCTGCCAGAAGGGCAGGGCCTATCCGCTAAAAACGTGACGTTGATAGCCATATGAGTCGGCATTCGGCTCGCTTAGTGAGCAGCCCCAAACCACAGATAATACATATAATACTAGCCCAAACCAAGGAAGGCGTTATTCCTCCTGCGAGGCTGCGAGCTGCATGCTATACCGGCTCTTCGAAAAAAGGAGCCAACTCAGATTTCAGACTCAGCCTTTAAATGGGTATTATATCTTTCTTTCATTTTTTTTAATACAGGAATTAAAAATAATTGTGATAAAGTTAATATTGTTAAATAGAGCTTATAAAATAATGGCAACACTTTGCATATTCACCACCGGAGATCCTTAATGCTCCATTTCCGACGATTTTCGGCTCATAGTAAGAGAGCGAAACACTACTTTGATTCAGATTAAAGTGCGGTAGGTAGGTACCTACAAATACAGCAATGTATGTATGTAGGTAAGTACCATACATACATTGCTGTATTTGTAACAACAGCAAGAAAATATCACGATTTACATACTTACTTAATAATATGTAATATTAACCCTTTTCTTGGCATTGTGCATTTAAAGATACGTTGACCAAAACAAAAATATGGGCGAGAAACCAAAAACTATTTTTAATTGTTTTTTTAATATAACATTAGCCCAAATACTACAGATTGTGTTACACATTATAGAATCGCTACAGGCTGCACAGATTTATCAGTAGTATAGAAAATGTCAGACCATTGACAGGCGTCTACGCACCGGCTGATAATTTTAATTATTTTCGGTGTTTTTTTTAAAGAATATTGGTGATTATTTGTAGTAATATGGATAGTAAATAAAGGTTTCTTGATGATAGTGCTGTTTTTTCATCCCAAAACTTGTATAATTATTCTTGTACGATGCGGATTGTCCGAATGTATCTCTAAATGCACACTGTCAGATACGTAATAATTTACTTTCAATTTTGAATGTATCTTTAAAGACACATTGCCAGGTGCTCGTTGACTTTATTTTATGATTTTTTTCATAGATTTTATCGCACAAAAAAGGGATCATGTTATTAGTTAGTAATATTTAAAGCTGTAAATTATATGCCGATATGAGTTTTAATTCATGTAATAAAGAATGTCGTTTTTTGGACAACTTTGTGCTGCAGCAACAAAATCAGGCGCGCAAAATGCTAGTTCTGGTTCCAAAATCTGGAACCAGTTCGAAAGTTAGTGGCGGTGACACTTCAGCTGATGAATTAGAAGCCGCACTTAGCTCCTGATTCTCTTGGGTGGTTATCTTCCTACTCCAAACAACCCAGATCACCCCCAAAAAGCGAGCAGCCTATCCAGGCTGCTGCATGCTTCTGGTTATAAAGCTGGTGATTGAAGAATTTCAGCCAGTTCGACTGCTGCATAGTTTCCCAGAGAGTTCCAGAGATCCATTTCAGCTATCTTGCGTTTCCACTGTAAGTTGGGTATCAAATTATCTTCAATCGAAGACGTAAACACAGTTCGGTACCAGTTGGCGTCAATACCCCTCGTATTTTTTTAATGCTCTTGCAGAATTCCTATGTGTCCTATCTACATTTGCTTCTACTGGATGGTAAGAGGGGTGTGAGGTTCAGGAGGTACTCCAACGACGCTGATGGAGTGGTTCTCATACATCCAAATGCAGCTATACTTGCAAGGCGTTACAGACTTTGAAGTGGGTTTTTTACTTTGTTTTCAGTTTTTTGTAAAAGATACTTATTTTTTATTTCTCAAATAAGGAATAGCTTAAGGTTTTGTAGTAATTTTCATTTAAATAACTAATTTTTACTAAGAAATAAACCATTTTTTAAATTACTACAAAGCTGGCAATGTGCACTTAAAGATACATACTATATTTCCAAAACTACATACCTAAGATTTTTTTTAGTATTTTTTACATGATTTTTATTCTTCCTAAATCCAATATTTATAGTCTAAATCACAAATATTAACCAAAACCGTCTTTGCCAAGTATAGGGTTAAAATAAAAACAGCGATAAGGAAGGTACAAATGAAAGCCATAGGCACAATATTTTGTGCCATAGGTTTACGCTTTAGGATACGCTACTGCGTAGGTATATCGATATCAATAGTTACTTAACTGGTTTTCTGATAGGAAACCTTTATGTAAATAGGTAAGTTAAAGTAGGTCCCTAAACAAGCGCAAGCTAAATTATGCGCGCAAAAATTGCGGGCCTTATTTTTACTTCGGCATTTCAATTATGTCATCTTCTAATCACGCATTTATACTAGCTATTCGGTAGTTTCTGAGCCACTGCCGTAGTCGATCGGGGACAGCCGTCTCGACCGCACATACCGCACGGTGTCTCGTTACATTACGCAAGTAAATTTGCGGAAGCTGCAGCTTTCGACCGACGAACCTATGGAAGAACTAGAGAGCCTTGTGCCACACGATGCAAAGCGGGAGTTGGTGTTTTTCGTCAACGGGAAAAAGGTACGATATCGTGGGAACCTTGAGTATTAAACAGCATTCTTTATTACAGTGTTACCTATTGTTTTAACGAACCTAACTGATAGAGGCCAAAAGTATAAACACGCACTCTATCTAATTTAATGTTGATAATTTTTGCGGATATAAGAATCATTGCGGTTTTAAGATCACATTTTTTGTGCTCTGTTCTTAAAATAATTTTTTTCTCAAGAGAAAGTAGAGTAAGTTTTGTATGTAACGTATTTTGTAGCAATTCGTGTATTTATAGGTACCTACCAAAACAAAATCAACGATATTTTTATTTATTTTATTTTGTTGTTGAATTTATTTTCTGCATCGGCTTCTAATAATAAACATCTGCAAAGTTTATACTTGCCGACCTCTAAATAATGTATTATAGTTGCATTTACTTTGGTGCCTACAAAGACCACTCATTACCAGTAAACCACCACATGTTGTAGGTGTCTACCCATAGAGTTATTAACCTCTATGTGCCTACCACATGTGTGATATGAGACCTATTTGTGGTCTTCTCATTAGCGACATACTTACCTTATACATAGACTTACCACCAAGTTAGCAGCACAATGTACCCACACATAGGTACTTACATAGCTCGTGAATCATTCTGAAAAAGCGTCGTGGTAAAAACGGTGTCTTTTTTTATCCCCAACGGGAAAGCTCTTGGCCTGTATGTATCTCATCTGATGGTGAAAGGTGGAAGCCAGCTTCACCCAGAATCCACAACTACAGAGGAACTGGCTATCTTACCTCTAACTGCCGTAACATAACATTACTTTGTTCCCTGAATTAGGGAATTCCCCCAATTACATAATAGACTTAGTTGTCCCTAAACTCTTACATAGTAACACTTATAATAAGCAAACGGAATAATATTTATAAAAATTCTTCATTACTACAAAAACTCTATTATTTAAGCTATCTAAAAAACCAAGTACCAACATTGTGGCGCCAAAAATGAGAGCAATACGAACAGTGGCGGGGCAAGACCTAAATTTNATTTCTAATGGTTATATAAATATTTTCACATATTGTTAGAATTAACAAATCAAAATATTATGTTAGACACATTTTTTCTTATGAATATTTTAGGTAAGTAATATCGTCAATTTCACATAATTATTTTATTCGTAATTTTTATTATCGTTTTTAAATTTATTAAACCCTTAATCATTATTAAAATATCCTAACTGCATGCATAAAACCTTATCCCGAAATAGGGGACATGAGTTCACGAACTTAGAAACAGAGCAAAATTTTGTCACGAAACAGGATCCAAACAAGAGGTCCGCAGAACAATGAATATAAAAAAAAGTTCAAACTATATAACTATAAATTATGTATTAACTTACTGTCAAAAGACCAAAGTTTAGCATACAAAAGCTTTCATACTGATATCATGCTTGGTTATTTTTAAATAAAATGTTAAAGTCGTAAGAGCCTTAATATACCGAAGTAGGGGGCACTTACCTTATTTACTTTTTTTTCCAAAAATATTCTAGATGACTTACCCACTTAGGTATTAGCAATCGTTTACGTAAAGTAAATGGAGTTTATTAATGTAAACAAAGCATAGCATTGACTGTTTTTGTTGCTGGTATTCTTGTACTGTGGTCCTAAGTAAGTGTAGTTGCAGATTGCAGAACAGGTCTTACGATTTTCCTAACCTTTTCAGATCAAGGTTTTTGATGAACGTGTTTATGCAGAAACTACTAGGTACCTAGCTATTTTATCAACAATAATTTAAATACGGCTTGCGACTTCTGGCACAGTCAGTAATAGTGGTACGCGAACCATGATTACCAATGCGACGAGATTTTAATGATATTTATCTCAAATTCCAGGTCGTGGAGCCACACCCTGACCCGGAGGCGACTCTGCTGTGGTACCTGAGGAAGAAACTCCTCCTCACTGGAACCAAGTATGGCTGCGGCGAGGGCGGGTGCGGCGCCTGCACTGTTATGGTGTCCCAGTACTTGCCGCGTGAAAGAAGAATCAAGTATCCTTTTAACAATACTTTTCAACCTTATGTAGAGGCTCTTGGTCTGCATCTCCCCTGATAGAAAGTGATGATGAGGCCGAAGGTGGAAGCGAACTGTTAGTAGAATTAGTTAAGTTGTTGGTGGTATAGAATTACATACGACCATTTTCACATTATCTTCTACAATTAAATTGTCTATTAAGTATTATTAAGTATCCAATATATTCAAGCTTAGATTTTAGCTTATGAGTGAATGTGAATGTTTTTATTCATCCACTCGACTATCATTAAAAAAAAAAATTAAATATGTAGGTAGTAGGTAAAATCACAAAATATTATGTAACATGTAAGTAGTACCTACCTAATCTATGACGTCACATCAAAGAGCATCTCACGCTCACCTTATAACGACTAATTGCCGTGTAATTAATAGTTTTTTAATATACCTACCCATTAATGTATAATATGCAAAGTCTGCATAATCTAAACACTTAAACGAAATTATGCGCATTGCATACGTTATGTTATGTTACTTACATGTTATTCTAGTGTTACAAATCTAGTTAGAGCCATGTAGGAGTAAATAAGTTTTTAAACAGTGAATTAATTACAAAAACTATAAAACTGTTATTAAAAAAGAAATATTTCGATATTCCTCAACGATCATTCCAGACACATAGCTGTAAACGCATGTTTGACCCCGGTGTGCGCGATGTATGGTTTGGCGGTAACCACAGTGGAAGGTATCGGATCGACACAAGATCGCTTACATCCGGTCCAAGAGAGATTAGCCAAAGCACACGGCTCACAGTGTGGCTTTTGCACGCCAGGAATCGTAATGTCCATGTACGCATTGCTCAGGAACAAAGACAAAATTGATTATGAAGATATGGATGCAGCTTTACAAGGCAACCTTTGCCGATGCACCGGCTACCGGCCTATTATCGAAGGATTCAAAACGTTTACAGAAGGATGGGAAAGAAATTATGCACCAAACATGAAATCTCCTTGCATGATGGGCGATGAATGCTGTCGAGTTAAAGGTGCTGAAACAACTAGTGAAAACGATAAGTTATTTAACAAATCAACGTTTGTGCCATATGACCCAAGTCAAGAACCAATATTTCCGCCTGAACTTAAACTTTATGAAAGTTACAATAAAGATTATCTATATTTTAAGGGTGAAAACGTTACATGGATTAGACCAACAAAGCTAGATCAACTTTTGAAGATAAAAAATAAATATGATCACAGCAAAATCGTCGTTGGTAACACAGAGATAGGTGTAGAAGTTAAATTTAAGAAGAAAATATATCCCATACTCTTATCACCGGTCAATATAGAAGAATTAAATTTCTGTAGACTCAACGACGATGGAATTGAAGTTGGCGCTGCGTATTCTTTATCAGACCTGCAAATATTTTTGAAAAACAATTTGACGAAATTAGCAAGCAAAGGAAAAGTTTACGAAACTATTATAGAGATGCTGCACTGGTTTGCAGGCAATCAGGTTCGCAACGTGGCTTCACTTGTGGGTAATATTATAACAGCCAGCCCAATATCTGATTTGAATCCAATTTTAATGGCATGTTCTGCCACTGTTAACATTTCTAGTTCTAAAGGACAAAGGAAGGTGGTAATCGATGAAAATTTCTTTAGAGGTTACCGAAAAACGGCGGTTAATGACAATGAAGTGGTGACGTCAGCTGAGATCCCATTCAGTAAAAATCACCAGTTTTGTAAGGCTTATAAACAAGCTAGGCGAAAAGATGACGATATTTCAATAGTAACGGCCGCATTCAATGTAACGTTTGAAGATAATTGTCAAGACGTAGTTTCAGAAGCACGATTGTGTTATGGTGGAATGGGGCCAATGACGATACTAGCTAAACATACATCTAATTTAATTAAAGGTCTTAAATGGGATGATAAATTATTGGAGGTGGTTTACGATTCATTGACAAAAGAAATGGAATTAGGAATATCAGTTCCTGGAGGAATGGCCGACTATCGCAAGTCTTTGTGCCTTAGTTTATTTTACAGGTATTACTTATTTGTGTCACAAAATCTAAATAAACCCAACGGTTACAAAATAAGTCACAACAACAATCACATAAGTGGTGCTAGTGAAATCCCTATTCTGCCAGCTAGCAGTTCACAATACTTTGAGATCAAAGAAAGCATATCGTTGTCTGATTCTGTAGGAAAGCCCATACCACACGCGTCAGCTTTTAAACAAGTAACCGGGGAAGCAATTTATTGTGACGACATTCCAAGTGTTGACGGTGAACTATATTTGAGTTTAGTTTTTAGCACAGAAGCACATGCCCGAATTAAATCTATAGATGCCACTAAAGCGTTATCTCTGCCTGGTGTAGAAGCATTTCTCTCTGCGGCTGATTTAGACGATGAATGCAATAAACTAGGCCCTATACTCAAAGATGAAGAAATATTTTCTAAGGAAGTCGTAACTAGTCGAGCTTGTGTCATTGGTGCTATAGTTGCTAAGACGGAAAAGATAGCAAGACGAGCAAAAGAGTTAGTCACTGTTGTATATGAACAACTAGAACCAGTTATTGTCAGTATAGAAGATGCTATAAAGCATAATTCATTTTATACTGATCACCCACGCGTGTTAAAGAAGGGAGATGTGAAGAATGTATTGGATAGTCATAGCAACGTCATAAAAGGCGAAGTCAGAACTGGAGCACAGGAACATTTTTATCTAGAAACAATATCTGCTTATGCCACGAGGAGAGAAGATGAACTTGAAATTATTTCCACTACACAAAATCCTGCTGAAATTGCGGTTAGTAGATCCATATATTATTATTCTGGCACTAACTAAAATTGCTTAAAAGGGATATGGTGTTGAAATGTGTGATGTTAGTAAAATATTATTTTTGCAGCAATATGTATCTAAGGCTCTACGCATACCCAATCACAAAATTGTATCGAAAGTGAAACGCATCGGAGGTGGATTCGGAGGGAAGGAGACAAGAGCTTCAGTATTAGCTGTTCCTGTGGCCATCGCGGCTCATAAGCTGAAGAGGCCTATCAGGGCAGTGTTAGACAGAGATGAAGATATGCAGGTCACTGGCTATCGACACCCCTGTCTGATAAAGTATGAGGCCGCGTTTGAGGACGATGGGAAGATAAGAGCAGCTGTTTTCGATATTTACGTCAATGCTGGATACTCCATGGATATATCGTGTTCTGTAAGTTTCAGTCTATCTTTAGTCAATACTTATAAGTTATAATCTTATGAATGTACCAAAATCGAGCCATTTATTAAAAATAAGTATAGATAAATATTATAACAATAAAGGAAAATAACAATATTGGGATGATGACTGGGTAATTAAATCGAAATTCTATTTAGTCCGTCAGACAGATAAGAAAAAATAATGGACACGTATTTTAATTGTTTTTTCTTAATCGAACAATTACAATATTATATTGAGTTGAAATGTCGCGTGAAGTCACTTCTAAGTAAAAAATCTACATAGGCGTGACGTAACGCGCCATTTCAACTCGATGTAGCACTGTTATTATTTAATTAAGTATGAAAGAAAATATAAAATAAGAGTCTAATATTTTCTAATTACCTGTCTGACGGATAATAGTAATAATAATTGAAATTTTGTCATCTAGTCTATATCTGGAAGACCTATCTACTGATTTCATTCTAAGAATCCTATGGTGATTGATTGAAATTATGTATAATTAATTAAAACGCTATATTTTTCAGATGGTTGAAAGAGCAATAACACACGTAGACAACTGTTACTACATTCCAAACGTTGAAGCAAGAGGCTACCTGTGCAAGACTAATATGCCCACTAACACTGCATTTAGAGGATTTGGAGCGCCTAAGGCGATGTTAGCAGCTGAGTGCATGATCAGAGATGTAGCATCAGCCTTAAACAAGAGCTATGAAGACGTGTTGACTGTTAATCTCTACAAAGAAGGCGACCTCACGCCCTACAATCAGACTTTAACTTACTGCACCATACCAAGGTGCTGGAAGGAATGTATCGCACTATCTCAGTATTGGGAAAGAAAAAAGGAAGTAGAAGAATTTAATCGGTACGCATTTGATCTTTACTTTATATTGTGTAACTTATATTAAAATTTGAATATAAAATCTACTTACCTATGTAATTCTTTTTTGTAAATTCCAGCTCACACAGGTGGAAAAAGAAGGGCATCGCTATGGTTCCTACGAAATACGGTATCTCATTCCAATCAGATGTTCTGAATCAAGGAGGAGCATTGCTACTGGTGTATAACGATGGCTCAGTTCTGCTATCGATTGGAGGCATTGAAATGGGACAAGGGCTGTTCACAAAGATGATCCAAGTGGCGTCCAGAGCTTTAAACGTGGATGTTGATAAAATACATATCAGTGAAATGTCTACGGATAAAGTGCCGAATAGTTCTCCCACTGCCGCAAGTATCAGTTCAGATCTCTATGGTATGGCGGTGATAAACGCTTGTAATGTATTGAACGAAAGATTAAAACCATACAAAGATGTAAATCCTACAGGGAAATGGGAAGATTGGGTTTCAGCAGCGTATGTGGACAGGGTGCATCTTTCGGCAACAGGATTTTACGCGGCACCTAAGATAGAATTTGATCCAAAAACTAGCTCTGGCACTCTATTTGAGTACTTCACGTACGGCGTTGCTTGCTCGGAGGTGATCATCGATTGTCTGACTGGTGATCACCAGGTGTTGAGAACTGACATAGTGATGGATGTGGGTGAAAGTCTGAACCCGGCTATTGATATAGGTCAGATTGAAGGGGCTTTTATGCAAGGATACGGATTCTGCACCATGGAAGAAATGGTATTCTCGCCAAAAGGAGAGGCCTTATCTAGAGGGCCTGGTGCTTATAAGATACCCGGATTCTCGGATATACCAAAAGTATTTAATGTGTCCCTACTTAAGGGAGCACCAAACCCTAGAGCAGTTTATTCTTCCAAGGTGCGTATCGATTAAAATACAATACGTTAATGATATAAGCTAACATAAAACAACATCAAATTAAGCCCATAAATACCCGACTGCGCCAGAAGGAGGGTTATGTTTAGAATATTTATATTTATGTTATAAGTAGAATTTTCATGTAATTATGAAATATTTATTAAGAGCTTAGACTCAAAATAATGGTGTTTGCATAAAAATGTCGATAATCAAAATGACGTTACAAAATTTTGTACTTAATATTCTCCAAAAATTCCGATCTTATTGAACGTCCAGTTTTTTTTTGTTCTGGATTCAGCCATTATCTTCGTCTAACTAGACGACCCGGGTTCGATTCCCGGCCGTGCAGAAATTGAAATGATGAATTTTAATTTCAGTGACGGGCCTGGATGTTACTATGTATGTATTTACAAAAAAAAGTATTTGAGTAATCCGTTGTCTAGTACCCATAGTACAAGCTTTGCTTAGTTTAAAATGTTCAAGGATATTTATTTAGATAACTTTACTCTTTTATGCTACAGAGCGACATTCGTAATAACAATACCATCAAAGATTACCATCAAAGGGCAGTCAGTTGCATAATTTTACGCAAAATTGTTTGGCGCATGTGCATTGCTTTCTTTTCTTTCATCTATGGATGGGAATATAAATTACTAGCTTTCCGCCCGCGGCTTCGCCCGCGTGGAATTTTGTCTGTCACAGAAAAACTTTATCGCGCGCGTCCCTGTTTCAAAAACCGGGATAAAAACTATCCTATGTTCTTTCCCGGGACTCAAACTATCTCTATGCCAAATTTCATCAAAATCGGTTGCGAGGTTTAAGCGGGAAAGCGTAACAGACAGACAGACAGACAGACAGACAGACAGACAGACAGACAGAGTTACTTTCGCATTTATAATATTAGTTGGGATTGCTTACGCAGCAAATTATACTCTTTAGACTCGTTTCATTGCTTTATGTTAATGACGAAATCAATCACAAACAGCCCATCCATCGCATTAACTATGGATCTGTCTTTATCTCCAGTCTCTATGTCCAGACAGATTATAACACTTCACAATACACTTAACACTCCCACAGTAAGGATCGGAAACGTGATCTTTTTATGTTCAATTCTATTCATCAATTCATAAAACTACGACATACATGCGCTACATAATCTATGTAACTATAGCATTGGCATATAGCTAATAGCCATAGCGCTATTTTAGTTCCGTGGTGCAAATCATATTTTTGTTTGTAAGTTTTAGTTATTGTCATTTGTTTCATTTATAAAGGAGCTAAGTAAGTTGATATAATATGTAGTTAACAATATTCTGATCCTCCATTTTTCTCATTAAATTCAGTGAGCGTTTCAATTCAGTAGTAAGCCCAGGACTAGTCAACCTTCTAGTTGATTTATCAATCTCAAGATCGACTACCTATAGGTATCTTACTCAATTTCCTTATATCGAGATTAAGTCTACGTATCGTTGAAATAGATATTTATTTTCAGGCTGTCGGAGAACCGCCACTGTTCCTGGCTGTGTCTGTATTCTTCGCCATCAAGGAGGCCATAGAATCATCTCGCTTGGAAGCAGGAGTGCCCGAGCACTTCACTCTAAACCTGCCCGCGACTTGCGAGCGAATTAGAATGGCCTGCGAGGATCGGATTACGCAACAGGTACGGTTACCACTTTTAATTGTGCAGCCATCTGACCGTGAGGGACAATTGGATAAACGTATCTAGTTGTCCTCGGTGGCGAGCAATGGCGCGGAGCGGGACATGTATCGACATCAGTCAGGACAGGATTATACATTTTTCTTTTTTTTTATCCACAACGAGGAAGCTCTTGGCCTGTATCTCACCTGATGGTAAGTTTTTTGTTACAAATGGCAGTTATTACCACACCACTACAAAAGACACCGTTTACGCGTTTGGACTCTAGCTACCAGTTCCAGCTACCCATTCCCGTTTTTTCTCTCGCTCTCATCAAATGGTGATTCTTTGCGATAGAACGGGCGGGACAACATGACCGGAAACGGGTACCTGGAACTGTGGTCGATAGTACACACAATAGTATAAAATAGATGCTTTGTCACTTATTGTCAAGTTTATTTAATAATGCTTGTCCTTAAAAAGTGATTTTATGAATAAGGAACTTAAAAAAAATGAAATGAACAATGGCGATGTAACATTCGCGTGTCATTTCAATTAGCAATCTTTCAATTGACCAATTATACTGATTAATGACTGATCTAAATACGCGGTGGGTTTGTAGCAGTATGGAACATTAAATTCTTTGAATGCTCTATAAAGTTGATAACCTTGTACATGCTTATCTGACCCAGTGACTGAAATGAAATAATAATAATATGTCGATAGATGATGCCAGATTAATGTATTTTGAGGTGTTTACCAAAATATAATCTACATATTTAAAAAAAATAAATTGTATTAATGATCGGTATAAGTATTTTTTATAACCTACCTACCTACTTAATTTAATTTTTTTCTTGCCTTTGAACATGTTTTTCAATGTTCTACGTTTTTGTTTTAGGTCAAACCTTCAATAAAGCAAGATGGACAGCCATGGAACGTAATTCCTTAGTGTTAAATATTTTTTATACAGTTAATTTATTTTTGAATTCTTATAACTATCCCTATATCGATATTAAAAATTGATTTTCGTAGTAACATTTACTACTTCATCTGATCCAATACGCATTTGTGTTAAGTAGAAAACTACTAATTAGATTTATTAAGTTATCTTATCATTATGGTTAATACATATCTACATGCATACGTACTTACATGTATCATTTATTGTTAAAAATCTTTTATCTATTGTTGATTTGATATGAACAAGCATGTTTATGAAACACTTATTAATATAAATAACACTTATACAAATCAATGCATTTTTATTCATATNAGATTTTTATGGAATGACCCAGGTATATGTCACCGTAAAATTGTGAATTCCGCCAGATTATAATCTGACGTATTTAAATTACAACCTAACCTAACCCACTGTTAGTTTACAATCTAACGCGTTATATTATACGTTCACGTTGACATATACAATTTAAATGTACGAATTTTCTATATTTTACGGTATTAATTACAAAAAGTGATATCTACAAAAAATAAACACATGATCTTCTTTTATCGCTTTAGTTTTGTATACTACTTAGTTTTTTTGTGTTTAGTTGTTTTGTGTTAGGTACTTAGTTTTATGATGGTTAGATATTTCTTGAACCGAGTTGACAACAACCTTAAACTTACGCTATTGACCTTGTTGCGATAACTTGTTCTTGTAATGAAGTCGATATTGCAGGAACTTTTGTAAATACATCTGTTTTATTGTATAAATCAGATTGCAGTAATTTTTGATGTTGACAGTAAGAGTTAACATACATATTAGATAAATTGATACTAAAATGGGAGACGTGATTTAAAATTCACCCTGTATAGCATATCTAGTGCTAGAAAGGTTAAAAATATAGATGTTAAAATTGTCATTGAACTGGATATGATGTATGGAAAGATAAATAGGTTGTTTACAATTTATTTCTTAGCCACTGTGTGATAGACCGGCGCGCACGCATGACGGCCGGCGATCCATCAATCGAATTGAGCCAGTAGTGGTGTAGATACGAAGTGAACCAGACGTGCTACAGATCCCAGTGAAATTCTACAACGAAATGGGAGTGTTGAATTTGGAGGAGGAGGCTGGCGTCAGCACAGTTTTAGTTTTTTATGTCAATGGAAAAAAGGTGAGTGATTTTTAAACTACTTAAGTACTTCATGATCTTAGGGGCGCAAATTGCTCATTAAAGTAATTGCCTGAGGAACACTTAAAATGATTCGAGACCAAGAATCACTTTGAGTATAATTTTATAAGAAGAAAACCGATTACAAATTATAAGAACATTCCCTACAATGTGGGTACGGAATTTATATTTTACGACCTCATTTTTTTAACTCAAATAATATAAAAAAACGTGGACATGTGCTTGATATTAATGTGTATTAATTAAAAGTCACTTTGTAATTTAGTTATAGGAGTAAGCATTGAAATTTGAGTAGACTTAATGCACACGTTTTCACACCTCGGTAATTTCGCTATACCTGCGATACAATATTATTTTAGTCGGCTTATCGGCTAACTCAGCAAAAAAAAAGACACATTCTAACATTCACGACAATATTACAACAACACTAAGATTATCATCATCAGATCATCTCAGTAGACTTTTATTGCCGATTTTACTGTTATGAATGCTTTTTAACTTTTCTTCGAGTTTTTAAAATAAACACAGACATCTCAAAAAAGTTCCGTCATTATGTAGACGGTACCGTATTCAAAGGGTTCATAAAACAAGTTATCGATATACTTAAAAATTAAACCTGTCGCGTTAAGAAACTTATTGCCTTATATTTATTTGCCCTATCCAAATCTAAACCAGTTATTTCAATCTGACCTTATCAACATTTATGTCATACTTGCTTTGTTGATCTTTCTTTCACAAGGCAGAGAGGTAGGTGATAATTAACATTTATCTTCATGACGCAGAAAGAAATGATATTACACGATGAACTTCACACGAGTGTAAAATTAAAACTTTAACTTGCTTTAAAATTAAATAAACGATGACTCCATAATTATATTTATTTTAAAATATAATACAATCTAAGACACTTTCCTTTTCAACTAACAAAGACAGATAATATTTTTTTCTGGGGTTAAGTCCCTCTCGATGTAAGTCGTGGGTTCGATTTCCACCATAGGCAGTTCGATTTTTTTTAAGTTATTTTAAAAACAGTTAATTTTAAAAGCAACAGTTATAATGGCACCAATCAGGATGGTATTCACACTTACTGTACAAATAAGCTACGAAATATTTAGCAAGCGAAAGAGCGTAGGAACCTTAGGTAATTTGATTATTTAAAATTATTAAAAAATTAGTTCGAGCTTCGATTCGAACGCTAGAAAATATTTATTAAAACAGAGCTAAAAGCGTTGTGTGTGAAATTGTGTAAGAATCGTAGTTAAAGTGGTGTTATAGATTAGGTAAGATATTTCTCACATAAACATTTATTCAACCATCTGAGTTTTGTTTAGCAACACTTATAGGCGACACTACATAGTATAATGCAAAACAAATGCTTTAATTCGTATCAAATGCAATTATGCAGTCGATTTCATATGTAAATTTGACGCAGTAGATTATTTATTTTTTCTCATTCCCATTTGGTAGGACATCGTGTTTGTTAGCAACCTCTGATAATAGCAAGCACTGACCTCTGCCTCCAGATACGATCTTCTGACGATGTTTCGCGCATTGATTTGTCGAAGCTTCATTTAATACGTCTATTGCGTCATGATGTTTCATCTTGGATTGTGAATGTGATAATTGTTACTAACATTTTGTTATTTGTTTTTTTTCCTATTCTGGAATGATTGTCCACTACAACTGGTTGCTTAAATGTCAAGATACCTATTCTATTCANTTTTTAAACTACTTAAGTACTTCATGATCTTAGGGGCGCTAATTGCTAATTAAAGTAATTGCCCGAGGAACACTTAAAATGATTCGAGACCAAGAATCGCTGTTTGAGTATAATTTTATAAGAAGAAAACGAATTACAAATTAAGTATAAGAACATTCCCTACAATGTGGGTACGGAAATTATATTTTACGACCTCACTTATTTTTTTAACTCAAATAACACAAAAAACGTGGACATGTGCTTGATATTTGTAATTTAGTTCTAGCAATAAGCTTTGAAATTCGAGTAGACTTAATACGCACGTTTTCACACCTAGGTAATTTCGCTATACGATACAATATTATTTTAGTCGGCTAGCTCAGCAATAGGTATAAGGATTTTACCTAGTCTAACATTCACGACAATATTACATTGAACAGGAAGATTGTTTTATTACAATAGATTTTATTGCCGATTATACTGTTCTGAGAATGATTTTTAACTTTTCTTAGAGTGTTTAAAATAAACATAAACTTCTTAAAAAAGTTCCGTCATAAGGTAGGCGGCCTACCGTATTTAAAGGGCTCATAACACAAGTTATCGATATGTTACGGCTAAAGATAGGTGTGAACATAAACTTAAGATTAGCCGGCTAAACTTAAGTTTATTTTCGACGAGGTGTTAATGTTAGTTTCTTCTATCTTTAGCCGGCTAAACTTAAGTGTAACCGCAGGCCCTTGGCTAAAAATGTAGAAGGAAATGGAAAAGGATACAACGTAATAATGTTTACTATTTTGACACGAAAACTTTATTAAAAAATAATCACTTTCATTACACATACTTTTATGCACCTATGTAGGTATTCAAAATTACAATTATTACAATAACAAAATATTAATTACTTAAAATAAAATCTACCTAATCATTAAAATAAAATAATAAGGAACCATTTGGTCATTAAAGGATCTTCTGTAGGTATTTAAAATCACAAAATGCGCGTTGTCTCCCCACCGCCCCCTCAAGCCCTCCGCCGGCCTGGCGCGCCCATAGAATACATTTTTAGCCGTTTCGTTTTGGCTAATGTGCACATTAGCCGGCTAAAGATGGAATATCATGACGCAAACTAACATGTTATCGAACTTTAGCTGCTTCTCGAAGATAAACTTAAGTTTAGCCGGCTAATCTTAAGTTTATGTTCACACCTATCTTTAACCGTAACAGATATACTTAAAAATTAAACCTGTCGCGTTAAGAAACTTATTTATTTGCCCTATCCAAATCTAAACCAGTTATTTAAATCTGACCTTATCAACATTTATGTCATACTCGGTTTGTTGATCTTTCTTTCACAAGGCAGAGAGGTAGGTGATAATAACATTTATCTACATGACGCAGAAAAAAATGATATTACACGATGAATTCCACACGAGTGTAAAATTAAAACTTATCTCGACGACTCCATAATTATATTTATTTTAAAATAACAAAATCTAAGACAATACGATTACCGCACAGTACAAACATTTGTGTGCATGAACATATTTGTTTGTATTGGACTGGGTGTTTTCTATGTATAATAAGTATGTATTTACAAAAAAAAAGTATTCAAGTATGTTTACATCCGTTGTCTAGTACCCATAGTACCTACAAGCTTTGCTTAGTTTGGGACTAGAAACGCAGTGTAAAATGTCTAAGGATATTTATTATTTATTTATTTACTTTTCTTTTCAACTAACAAAAACAGTTAATAAATTTTTCTGGGGTCAAGTCGCCTCTCGATATAAGTCGTCGTGGGTTCAATTCCCACCTTAGGCAGTTCGATTTTTTTGAAGTTATTTGAAAATTTTAAAAGCAACAGTTGTAATGGCACCAACCAGGATGGTATTCACACTTACTGCACAAAATTAAATAAGCTACGAAATATTTAGCAAGTGAAAGAGCGTAGGAACCTTAGGCAATTTGATTATTTAAAATTATTAAAAAATTAGTTCAAGATGCGACTCGAACGCTAGAAAATGTTTATTAAAACAGGGTCAAAAGCGTTGTGTGTGAAATTCTGTAAGAATCGTAGTTAAAGTGGTGTGATAGATTAGGTAAGATTTTTCTCACATAAACATTAGTTCAACCATCTGAGTTTTGTTTAGCAACACTTATAGGCGACACTACATAGTTTAATGCAAAAAAAATCCTAGGTATTTTTAATCGTATCAAATGCAATTATGCAGTCGATTTCATAAGTAAATTTGACGCAGTAGATTATTTGTTTTTTCTCATTCCCACTTGGTAGGACATCGTGTTTGTTAGCAACCTCTGATAATAGCAAGCACTGACCTCTGCCTCCAGATACGATCTTCTGACGATGTTTCGCGCATTAATTTGTTGAAGCTTCATTCAATACGTCTATTGCGTCATGATGTTTCATCTTGGATTGTGATAATTGTTACTAACATTTCGTTATTTGTTTTTTTTCCTATTCTGGAACGATTGTCCTCTACAACTGGTTCTTAAATGTCAAGATACATATTCTATTCGTAGATCACGTTTAGAATTGTACTAGCGTGTAGTCTACAATTAACGCAGATGGTTAGGGTACGCACCAGCTACCGCAGCTTATTAATTAACACAGTTCAATAGACCTAATGAATATGAAAAATTAATATGGTGTAGGTACTTCAGATTAGATATGTACTATTTGGTGAAAAGGGAAGTTTGTAGAGATAACCGTGTTATACATACAGGATGTAATAGTAGTACAGGGAGTTCAAGACACCATGTATCTGTCCATGAAATAAAGGAAAATTGTAAGGGGTAATGTTTCTAGCGGGTACTACCTACATAGATATTTAAAAAAACGCATGACTTACTACCCGTTCGCGCTAAGTTTGCCGGTCTGTGGAATGCGCGTCCCCTCCCCCTGACCGCGATTAAACGCAATTAGTTAGAGATTAAACGCAATTAAGTGTCTTATTTTACGCAAATATAATTTTTTTATCAATATTAATAAATAAAAAACATTTCCAATATAGTTTGCTATAGTTATAGACGCTTTCCTTCGATTGACATCATGTCGCAAGCGGCAAACTTATTGCGAATAGATAGTACATCTCGACACCAAAATAAAATTCCATTTTTTCCAACGAACTTGACCACTTTTTGGTACCAATTTTTGTCCAACAATAGGTGGTAGAACCGAACCCAGAGCCAGAATGGACGCTGCTGTGGTACCTCCGCAAGAAGCTGCGCCTCACCGGCACCAAGCTGGGCTGCGCCGAAGGCGGCTGCGGCGCTTGCACCGTCATGGTCTCCCGGCTCAACCGCAAGGAGAACAAATTAGTGTATCCTTTTAAAAAAATAGACACGTAACAATATAATTTAACTTATTAGTTTGAGTACTAGATTATTAGTTCCAGTACTACATTCAAAGCTGTAGGTATGTTTTGTAAGTGTGGGAAGATAACAAAGGAATAAAACAAGGTTCGTTAATGATATAGCGTTTTCTCGCCAGATTGTACGTATATTTAACTTAATAAGTACTACATCTTTGTTTTGGGATTTATTTCAAGGTTGTTTCAGGTGTTACAATTTATGCGGTAGATTAATGATTCTATTATACTCAATTCATTATTATTATTATTTTTTATCCACAACGAGGAAGCTCTTGATTATTATGAGGAGATTATTAATTCTATTACTTTTGATCACTTTCAGTAGTAAGTTTGTATAAATTTGGAATCTCCATAAGATCCTATATTTAATAGCATAACAGAAATTACCTTAACTTTTGAACCTTTTAAGAAACAACTTTTTTTATTATATTTCCTTAAACAAAATGTACAGTCATTTAGCTGTAAACGCATGTCTTGCCCCAGTCTGCGCGATGCACGGCCTCGCAGTCACAACAGTTGAAGGAATAGGCTCCACGAAGACCAAACTTCACCCAGTCCAAGAACGAATTGCCAAAGCACACGGATCGCAATGCGGCTTCTGCACTCCAGGCATTGTAATGTCCATGTACGCGTTACTAAGATCGTGCTCTAAAGTCACATATTCAGATATGGAAGTAGCATTCCAAGGCAACCTCTGCAGATGTACAGGTTACCGAGCCATTATAGAAGGATACAAAACATTCCTCGAAGATTGGGAGAAGCAGCGCGTTGTTGACGCTCCAGCTAACGGCACGCAAAGAAACGCCTGCNATGCCTGTGGTATGGGAAAAGACTGCTGCAAAAATAAGACTGATAAGAAGGAAAGCGAAACAGAACATATTTTTGACAGATCATCGTTTCTGCCATACGACGCCAGCCAAGAACCAATATTTCCACCTGAATTAAAATTGTCATCTGTATACGACCAACAATATTTATTATTCAGAGGGAAAAATACAACTTGGCATCGCCCTACAGAACTGACTACTCTTTTGAAGCTCAAAGAACAGCATCCAGAGGCTAAAATTGTGGTCGGTAATACTGAAGTTGGGGTTGAAGTAAAATTTAAGCATTGCGTTTATCCAACCATCATTATGCCCAATCTTGTTTCTGAAATGAATACGATTGTAGAAAATGAAAATGGTTTGACTGTTGGAGCTGCTGTAACTTTAATGGATGTAGATACCACTTTCAGACAATACATCCAGGCCTTTCCTCGGCGTAAAACAAGGACCCTGGTACCTATTGTAGAGATGTTGAATTGGTTTGCAGGAAAGCAAATAAGAAACGTAGCAGCGATAGGAGGAAATATAATGACAGGCAGTCCAATTTCTGATCTCAATCCTATTCTAATGGCATTAAAAGTGAAACTCAATTTACTGAGTAAACAAGGAGGACATCGGTCGGTTCTGATGGATGAAAACTTTTTCACTGGATACAGAAGAAATGTAGTAAAACCAGATGAAATTTTGCTATCCATAGAAATACCATTCTCGAGAAAATATCAATACGTCAAAGCAATAAAACAGGCAAAGAGACGAGAAGACGATATTTCTATAGTAACAGCAGCTGTAAATGTGGAGTTTGAGGACCACACTAATGTCATAAAGGTCATAAACGTCGCATTTGGTGGCATGGCACCAGTTACAAAACTTACACCAAAAACTAGCGAATTACTTAAAGGTCTGAAATGGAACGAAGAGATGCTTGAAAGAGCTTATAATGCATTGTTAGACGAGTTGCCACTTGACCCTTCGGCTCCTGGTGGCAATATTCAGTATAGACGGGCATTAACTATGAGCTTATTTTTGAAATCATACATAGCCATTGGTAAAGAAATGTGTCAGGATTACATAAATGATGATTTTATTAAGCCTTATCACAGCAGTGGGGGCGAGCTGTTCCATGGTAGTATGCCAAAAAGCTCGCAATATTTTGAATTAGTTGGTGATAAGCAACTAAAGACTGACATGGTTGGAAGACCCGTGCAACACTTCTCAGCGTTCAAGCAAGCAACAGGAGAAGCTATTTACTGTGATGATATGCCTATCGCTGAAAATGAGCTGTATATGGCTCTTGTTCTTAGTACAAAAGCACATGCCAAGTTAGTTTCAGTAGATCCAAACGAAGCATTGTCTCAACCTGGTGTAGTCGCATTCTTTTCTGCCAAAGATTTAACTCCAGACCAAAACAAAATTGGACCTATTTTCCACGACGAAGAATTATTCATAAGTGAAAAAGTTACAAGTCAAGGCCAAATAATAGGAGCTATAGTAGCCGAAGACCAGGCAACAGCTCAAGCTGCTGCAAGGAAAGTTAAAATAAATTATGAAGAGCTTCAACCAATAATAGTCACTATTGAGGACGCTATAAAGCAGAAATCATTCTATCCGCAATTCCCTAAAACCATAAGGAGAGGAGACGTTGCTTCTGTATTTGAGAATAAAAATAATATCATTATCGAAGGTCAATGTCGAACTGGGGGCCAGGAACACTTTTATTTGGAAACTCATGCCGCTTTTGCTATTCCCAAAAAAGAAGATGATGAATTGGAAATATTCTGCTCTAGCCAGCATCCATCCGAAATAGCGGTAAGTTTTGAAATGTGTGATTTTATCATTATACCCTTGTAGATGGATAACAATGTAGGTAATCTTAATATTCTTTTATTCCAGAAACTGGCAAGTCACGTACTACACGTACCAATGAATAGGATAGTAGCTCGAGTGAAGCGAATGGGTGGTGGTTTTGGCGGCAAGGAGTCTCGAGGTCTGTTGACAGCTTTGCCAGTAGCACTAGCTGCGCATAAGTTGAATAAACCAGTCCGACTGATGCTGGATCGCGACGAAGACATGCTGATGACAGGAACTCGACACCCATTTTTGATCAAGTACAAGTTAGCAGCTAGCAAAGAGGGAATTATGTTAGGTGCCATTGTCAATATCTACAACAACGGCGGTTATTCAATGGATTTATCAGGACCTGTAAGTGTTTATTTAAATAAAACAAATGTGGATATAATTAGATCAAACTTATGAATTGAGCATACTTAATAATTATCTTCATGATAAGAAAACATAACATGTATTTTATCTTAACGCAATATCAAACAAACACAGATACGAGCTACATAGCTATGTGAGATAAACAACCGGTTTTCTGTACCTAACAAATTAAATTTTCTTTACAGGTTGTGGAAAGAGCAATGTTTCACTTCGAAAATGCATACTATATCCCTAATGTAGAAGTCACTGCTAATGTCTGTAAGACAAATTTACCTTCCAATACAGCCTTCCGAGGTTTTGGTGGGCCACAAGGAATGTTCGGAGCCGAGTGTATGCTTCGTCATCTTGCAACCACTTTGGGAAAGACTCCGGAAGAACTTAGCAAACTGAATTTGTACCGCGAGAACCTGACGACTCACTACGGACAAGTCTTGACTCATTGCACTTTGCAGAAATGTTGGGACGAATGCGTCGAAAAGAGTAACATGCTGGAGAGGAAAACAAAAATTGATAACTTCAATAAGTATGTTCTGAACTTTTGATAAGAATTTGTAATTATTTCCCATAAATTGTAAATAATTAACTTTTTCCATCTTACAGGCAACATCGTTGGAGAAAGCGTGGAATTTCAATAATTCCAACAAAGTTTGGAATTGCATTCACAGAAAAGTTTTTGAACCAAGCTGGTGCCTTGGTTATTATTTACGTGGATGGAACTGTGCTTGTATCCCATGGTGGCACGGAAATGGGACAGGGACTACATACGAAGATGATTCAAGTGGCATCCCGTGTACTCGGGGTAGACGTATCGAAGATACACATAAGTGAGACATCTACAGATAAAGTACCAAATACATCAGCCACGGCAGCTAGCGCTGGGTCCGATCTTAATGGAATGGCTGTTCAAAATGCATGCCAAACGCTAGTTGATCGTCTTAAGCCCTATAAAGACAAGAACCCTAACGGAAAGTGGGAAGATTGGGTGTGGGCAGCTCACTTTGACAGAGTTAGTTTGTCTACAACCGGATTTTATGCTACCCCTGACATCGGATATGACTTTAAAACTAACACAGGGAAGCCTTTCAACTACTTCACTTACGGGGTGGCTTGTTCCGAAGTGGAAATCGATTGCTTGAGTGGCGACCACCAAGTGATACGAACGGATATCGTAATGGATTTAGGGCAGAGTATAAACCCAGCTATAGACATTGGCCAGATTGAAGGGGCTTTCATACAGGGATACGGTCTTTTCACGATGGAGGAGTTGATTTATTCACCGACTGGGACATTGTACTCTCGAGGTCCAGGGGCATACAAAATCCCTGGTTTCGCTGATATTCCTCAAGAGTTCAACGTGTCTTTGCTCAAAGATGCTCCTAACACGAGAGCTGTTTGTTCCTCAAAGGTAATGAGAACCAGAATAAAGCGTTTATTATAAGTCTTAAATACGAGCAATTCGTTGTAACTAATGGAAAATTGTTGTCCAGAGTATACAGGGTGTCCCAAAAACAATGGATAACCNATAACGAAGGGCCTAACACTAGGGGTAAAATAAACAAAAAGTGACTGAGTTTCTTGCGCTGCTTGTTCTCAGCACTGGCCCTTGTTCCGAAGCAGTGGTAGGGTTAATATTGGGACGTGTAAAAGTGCTTTTTAAAAGCCTATTTGCAAAAATTTATAGAGTTTTGAGTTTCTATAAGAGTTTTAAAACAGTGTGCCTACCATGAGTTTACGTTAGGTGTGCTCGCTAGCGACTGCNTTTCCGAGCCGTGTATTATCACGGGTATCTGTCTATAGGCACATTTATAAGGTTTAAAACAAAAATTAAGTAATCACAAAAACGCAGAACGGACGGCCAATGGGGCAACAGGGTTCAAGTGGAGGCTACGTACCGGAAAGCGCATCGTAGGACGTCCACTCACAAAGTGGACCGACGACCTCATAAAGGTAAGCAGGAAGGTGCTGGGTGCAGGCAGCGGCCTGCACCCAGCGACTAAGCGGTCATTATGAAAATCATTGGGGTACAGGCCCATGTTCAGCAGTGGACGTCCTATGGCTGAAATGATGATGATGATGATGATAAAATGTTGCTTTATTAAAATTCCTACGCTAAAAATTATCCATTTGTATTTAATGCCACTATGCAGTTTTTACTGGGGTCAAAATTGGACGTTAGGGAGACCATGGCGAGGCCTATTGATGGTTACAAGGTTATCCATTGTTTTTGGGACACCCTGTATTTGAATTTAATTGATTTGTATTCTCACAGGCTGTGGGTGAACCACCATTATTCCTGGCGAGCTCCATCTTCTTCGCGATAAAGGAGGCGATTCGCGCGGCGCGAATCGACGCCGGCGCACCGGAGGAGTTCGAATTGGACGCGCCAGCCACTTCGGCACGCATACGCATGGCGTGTGTCGATCATATTACTAAAAAGGTTCGTATTTAAATTTGACCGATTTTAATATACAGGGTTATAGCCTGACCAGGAACATAAAAACCCTCGCCATGTTGCGGAAAACTAATGGTACTAATTTCTTTTAATGGCAACAGTAACTGAAAACTTCATTGACATGTCACCTTGCATGTCAGTCTATTGTTGTCAAAGTGTAAACAAACTTTATTTTAAATGTGTGCAATTGATTTTGTGAATTAAATTGCTAAAATATTTTTATAGTCGTGAAAGAAAAGTGGTTCACGGTGTGTTAATGTATTTGTCGAAGAGAAATACTAAGGGTTCGGACAATATTTTCATTGAATAATGTTTCAGACAAAGGTTGTCAAACTGACTGACATGTTTATCGTATAGTACAGTCCACTATGAAAATTAGCTGTAGTCTGTTTCAACTACCCATTTTAAAGTTTCTTGTTACTTTCTAAGTTTTGAATTTTATGGAATTGGGAAAGAAGTACCGAGTTTGAAGCGTTCATGAGCAGACATTGCAGTTGAATATTCAAGTTCTGAATTTGATTATTGATGAATAATAAAATAAATCCTACTAGCTCGATTGATGGTTTCATTTAATTTATTTAAACCAGGTTACCTTTAATAATATTTTTCGTTCATTTATGAAAATATCAAATTAGCCCGTAATCCTGAATCCTGATACATAAATTTAGCCTATTAATTTAACACATGTACGACTGTACTCAGTGTTGCACTATCAAATGCAATTGAAGCGCCTCTATGCCAGGGTTTTTATGTTCCTGGTCAGGCTATACTAGTAAAACACCAGTAACAAATGACAGCTACAATTTACCTATACGAGGCTGCTGGTGTTTTACAAATAACCTTATTCATATTATAATGGGGGTCCTGCGGAGGAGCCCAATCCAGAAAGCACTCGGTTATTTAAAGTTGAAATATCAATTCAAAATAGCAAAGAAAAATATTTGAATCAACAGATTCTGTGAATTTGAATGCACTGTATGTAAGTCATATTTTTGTTTGTTTCAGTTACATCAGCCAGACCCGTCCAGCTTCAAGCCTTGGAATGTAGTTCCATAATTTTGTGATGCGTGTTTGTAGATAATTTTTACATTTTAAACTTACGTTAGTCAATAACGATGCAAGCTTTATAATAATACGAGGATACACATAATGAATAAAGTACTTTGTATATGTACAGATGAAATGTATAGTTAAATAACATACATATATTTACAATGTACGATGTATCTATCTTTTGTTTATAATAAAAAGCCTATTTAGAAAAATGATGTTTTACTGCGGAGTGGTTGATGAATGAAAATACATAGTTTATGAATAGATAAAATTATTTATTTAAAATCGTATCTAATATAATACATTTAAGTGACTAATAACAATATTCAATAAATTAAAGATTGCAGTCGATGAGCTGTGAAACGTATTGCTATTTATTGCTAACTGGATGGCATTTAGCTTAACATCGGAATTATAATTAAGGTGGCCATAAGTACAATTTTCATTAAATATATCAAATAACTTATTTAACAATGGAATTAACTATTTATTTACTATGTAGCACAATACTTTTACTATTGACTGGTTTAATCGTACCAATTAACGTGCGGTAATAAACTATTTTCGATGATATAACAATTCACTGACCGAACACAGTGTTATGTATAATGGAAGACTATCACCAATATTTGTAGTTTCTTATTATTTTCATGGGATTTAGCTTGCTTCAAACAATCTGGCGCTTTTAAATTTTGAATGGAATTTCACTTTCAATTCATATGAATCCTCCTTGCTTATAATATGTTTAGTCAAGGGAAGGTGGGAGATATTTGTTTATTGATACTTATCATTATAACTCGATTAGGCAAATCTGAGCGTGGGATTCAACTCGTGGCGAGAGAACCACATGTGCAGCAAGTAACGTTCATCGTTCATAGCTAGTTAATAAAATTATTTTTGTGGTAATTATTTATACATAAATATTCAATTCTTTAATTTTCTCTTATGGAAAGCAAAGGTATCTTGTAAATTGATGATTTCTAATAATGCTTTAATCCAAATTCGTTTGGAGCAAACTATACACGAAGAGAGTAGTTTATTCTCATTATTATTTATAAATAGTATTAGAGTTTATTTCATATTATAAAATTAATTACCGTGAAGTTGAAATATTATACTATAAACAAACATTAGTAAATACAGTTTAAAGTGTAATGGATTGACTGCACGAATGATTTCGTTTTTATTTAACAAATCATGTTTTTTCTTTATAGTTTGATATCTAAAACTTTTGATTAAAGTAAAATTAAATGCGAATTAGCTTATCATTAAAGATCAATAATTTTTGGTGATTTGATTACATAACAATTTTGATCTTATTTATACTATACCCAATACAATTTATTTGATGGATTTTGAGGAAAATGTATGCGATGGAATTAAAAGCAAAACAAATGCCACCGTAAATATTAGATATTAATATGATGAATTGATGACACGCGCAGAGAGACAAAATGTTAGGATAGTTATCTGTTTTATTTTTACCCAATATTATTGAAGTATTAGCAAGTTATAAGCAACCCATAAAATGATGAATACAGGTAGTATTTACGAAATAAATCACCTGAATTCCGATTTGATCGTATGAGATGAGTAAAAAAGAAAATGAATGGCAAGATTTATAACGACGGAAACATACAAAATACAGTCTCATTTTGCTAATTCATTTATTTCTGAGCTGCAGCTTACATATTTCTCTGCTCTGCTTAATTTGTTTCTAGTGCTTCTATTTATAATAACAGTGTTTTAAAGCAGTCGTCTACTGTTACCAATTCCGTTGTGATTGTTAACGTCTCGTTACCAGCTAATCGCCCGCCAGCGAGTTTAGTTTTGGCCTCAACAATATTAGATCATTACAGTAACCTAACGAACACTATGATTCTCATTTATCCGATTCCGATGAGCATCCCGACCCTGAGCTTGGACCTGAAAACGAAAATTAAGTGTTGGACAGTACTTTTTTTTGGTGGTTAGATTTGAAATTAAAACGAGTTTTTTCGATAGTTTTATGATTAGTAGGATTTTGGGTTAGCTTTTTGGTAATGTGTTTTTGTCTTTATTTACTCAGAGGGTTAGATTAGACTTGTACTCACTAGAACATGCAGTGTTAAAATGATAACGTAGTGAGTAATATTTTTTTTCAAAATGGTTGAACCATCCACAAAAAGCCAAATTGGTTTTGACCTTTACTACAAAAGATTTAAAGGTCAAAGTTCAAACTGCTTGTCAAAACGTGTCAAATGACAAGCCCCGCCCACCATCCTACCCAGTAAATTAAGTTAAATAGCTAATTATCTACTCAATACGTGTAAATAAGCTTCTAGAGATCACAATCGTCGAGTATTAAAGATTTTTGTAGCCTCATAACGAAGGGCCTAACACTAGGGGTAAAATAAACAAAAAGTGACTGAGTTTCTTGCGCTGCTTCTTCTCAGCACTGGCCCTTGTTCCGAAGCAGTGGTAGGGTTAATATTGGGACGTGTAAAAGTGCTTTTTAAAAGCCTATTTGCAAAAATAAATGAGTTTTATAGAGTTTTGAGTTTCTATAAGAGTTTTAAAACAGTGTGCCTACCATGAGTTTACGTTAGGTGTGCTCGCTAGCGACTGCGTAAAAAAATTACATTTAAATGTATGACATATTGTGCAGCGCCCCTAGCGGCTACTTTCAAGAAATAAAATCTTCATAGAATTATTTGACGTATTCGCTAGCGAGCTCACCTAACGTAAACTCATGGTAGGCACACAGATATCTTATTACCGTACGTACCATCATGCCTGGAGTAACGGCGGCGGCGGCGCGGCTCGCGCGTGGGACTGTCGGAGTTGTACTCCGTCTCCGTGTCGGCCGGCCCGTTGCGCGACCGCGACCCGCGCCCGTCCGAGTACCTGACGATGAAACGAATGACGAATAAAATTTTTTTTTTCTCCTTCAAAGTCTATAATTGTTTCAAAGTGTATAATTATTTCTTAAGCCCTCATATCTTTATTCTCGCATACATTTTTTATTTTATTTTATTTTTATTTTTATTTTTAAAAAGATTTGGCACTTCATCATCATCTCAGCCATAGGACGTCCACTGCTGAACATAGGCCTCCCCCAATGCTTTCCATGTTACCCGGTTGGTAGCGGCTTGCGTCCAGCGCTTTCCTGCTACCTTAATTATGTCGTCGGTCCACCTTGTGGGTGGACGTCCCACGCTGCGTTTTCCGGTACGCGGCCTCCACTTGGCACTTATGAATGTCCGAAAAAGATAGCCCGTAGCTCTTCAAGTACAGTCAGCGTCAAATAATTAAAATTGAACCTTACAATTAGAAAATTGTTACAAAGACGTGTTGCGAACTTATTGTCTACTTTGGGTGTCATAAACAATTTGACGCGTCAGCGTACCAGTGAATCGTGACACAATAGAAATAGATTGTTACCGCGGTCTCATGTGGCCACTTAGGGTTCCACTAGCTAAATAAAACCCCTTTATTTACATGTCTTTTTATTTAAAGAAAAAAATACTTTGTTTTAAAATTAATAAAACACTCTCCGACTGTCTCGATTGCGATTTTCAGGCGTGTAGTGCATTCAATCGGAAAAGTAGCGCCGATCGCCAAAGTGGATTCTGTAAATATAGTGCCTAGCTGAGTCAGTGCCTGAGGTATGGAAGCGGCACGGGAGAGGTGACATTGACATATTATGACATGACAGAGCATACAGATCTGAAGTCTCGTTGGCTTTTGACGTCTCAAAAATACCCCCTCCCGTGCCGATTTCATAACTCAGACACTGACTGAGTTGGCTGTCGGGCGAGCGCCTCGAGCGCGGCGAGTAGCGGCTGTCGGGCGAGTAGCGCACTGTCTCGGGCGAGCATCAGCCTTCGGGCGAGTAATGGTACACTATAGAACAGTCTAGTGTACAACAGCTCTCACCTGTCTCTGCTGGAGCGTCTCCGCGAGCGCGGCGAGTAGCGNAACGGCGGCGGCGGCGCGGCTCGCGCGTGGGACTGTCGGAGTTGTACTCCGTCTCCGTGTCGGCCGGCCCGTTGCGCGAGCGCGACCCGCGCCCGTCCGAGTACCTGACACGATATTGATAGATATAAATAAATAAATATTTTTAGACATTTTACACTGCGCTTCTAGTCCCAAACTAAGCAAAGCTTTTACTATGGGTACTAGACAACGGATATAAATATACTTAAATACTATTTTTTTTTGTAAATACATACATACATATTATACATAGAAAACACCCAGTCCAATACAAACAAATATGTTCATGCACACAAATGTTTGTACTGAATGCGGGAATCGATCCCGCTACCTCCGGAATAGTAATCCGTTTCGAACCACTACACCAAACTTTACATGACATAAATTTATTTAAATGACATTTATTGCATGACAAGCCATGCAATAAACGTTTTGAATTTGACTTCGAAGATGAAACAAATGACGAAATAAAAAGATTTGGCACTTATGAATGTCCAAAAAAGATACCCCGTAGCTCTTCAAGTACAGTCAGCGTCAAATATTTCAAATAGTACCTTGACGTGTCGGGCGAGTAGCGCACTATCTCGGGCAAGTATCTGCCTTCGGGCGAGTAGTGGTACACTACAGAACATTCTAGTGTACAACAGCTCTCACCTGTCTCTGCTGGAGCGTCTCCGCGAGCGCGGCGAGTAGCGGCTGTCGGGCGAGTAGCGCACTGTCTCGGGCGAGTGTCTGCCTTCGGGCGAGTAGTGGTACACTACAGAACATTCTAGTGTACAACAGCTCTCACCTGTCTCTGCTGGAGCGTCTCCGCGAGCGCGGCGAGTAGGGCGAGCGCCTCGAGCGCGGCGAGTAGCGGCTGTCGGGCGAGTAGCGCACTGTCTCGGGCGAGTATCTGCTCTCTGGCGAGTATCTACTGTCGGGCGAGTAACGCCTGTCGCCGTATCTGTTACATAAATGCAATTTGTTATTACTAATTATTATTTCAGTTTTCACTCAGAATGTCTACAGGCCCATGGGCAGACATAAGACTATGGATAAAATTCAGTCACTTACTTATTCCTAAGGTTCCGTACTCTAAGGAAATCCTAAAATATATCTCCGCTGTCTGTTTCACAGACAACTACAACAACATGTAATGACACTTAATGACAGTTCACGGTGTTCAATCATTCTGAACCTTTCATCTTCAAGTAAGATCGCACTTGCCAGTAGCCCTAGGATGCGCGCCACGATAACTTATGTGGGCATTCTATTGATTTTGCAAGAGTAAATCCATTTCATCCAATACATTTGTCCCTTGTTTGTATGTGTGGATCCTACCTAGCCCAGCTCGTTACCTCGGCGGGTGTGGTGAGGGCAGCCGGCCCAGCGGCGGCGGGCGCGGCAGCGGCGGCAGCAGCGGCGGCGGCGCGCGCGGCAGCGGCGGCAGGAGCGGCGGCGGCAGGAACGCTAGCGGCGGCAGCGGCGGCACCGCGTTGTCCGTGGCGTCTAGCGGTGACGCTACTTCTGGAAAAGACAGGTTTAGATTTAGGATTGATAAACAGACACAGGATTGGTTAGTGACACCAGTAATCAAAAGGGCGAAATGAGGTACATTTTCCATCACTAGCTGGCACTACTACTGTCTTAGCTAGGTGATAAACCTTGATCACACGTACCGAGTAATCGGGCGAGACAGTAAAATGTTTACTCGGTCGAGACAGTGATGTAAACGAGTAGCTGTTCACACGGGTTCTGAAATTAGCACAGTCAGTTCAGTGCAACAAAAGGAGGAGGCTCTCAATTCGGTTGATATTTTTGACGTCAATCATTTGGACGAGTGGCGAGCCAGTGCACGTTCAGACCTGCCGAGCGAGCGAGCGAGACAGTGCGGGGAAGCGGGAGGGTGGACACTCGGCTTAGGAAGTAGAACGGGAGTCGAGCTACTGTCTAGCCGCTTTGCTCGGCCGATCACTCGGCGCTATGTTCATACGCACCGAGTACTCGGCCGAGAGTACTGTCTCGCCCGTTTACTCGGTACGTGTGATCAAGGCTATAGGACTTTACTCGGCTGTGGCGCCAACTGTTGCAAGCGCTGATACAGAACCCAATTACCTTCAGTTTGGCGACATTGATTGGCTACTTTTCCAGTAGTTCGTAGGTCGAACCAGGGCAAGAAAGTCCGAAACCACAAAATATAACAGAAGGTAAACTCCATACTAAGCGCGCTCGAGCCCCGCACACATAGACACTGCTCACGCACGCGTTATCGGGACTGTCTTGGACGAATACGAGCCGCGACTTAACGTTCGCTTGAGTGACGCTGCTCACGCGTTTGTGAAATTATTTTGTTTGTGCGAAAATGAGTGAACAACAAAAAGGGGTATTATAACATTTGTTAAGTAGTAGGTTGCTTACACTCAACATTAAATACTGAATTTTCGTTTTTTAAACTACCAGCTGATTCCGGGAGGTAAGAAAGTTATTTATTTGTATTTCAATAGTTCGTTTAACGTTGACAAATTGAAAGCCAACTTAATCATTAGGAATATCGAAGTGTTTTAAAGAGGTTTTAGGTATAAAATTGTGTCAACCACCTAACTACATACTACTTCTTGTGTATTTGTTTGCAAACTTGTACTATAATAACGTCCTAAACATAACTAGATAATTATACAGTCCTCTCAACTTAAGCTGAGAATTGCATTTGTGTGAGTGCACACCGATAGTTTAGAGTGGCAATCGGCTTGAAGCGCGGCGCGTCCCGCGCATGGTTTAAACTGGTTTATTTATAGCAAGCGGCCTGAAGCGCGGCGCGTCCGCCACGCACCGCTTCCTTGCCGCTCACATACTTCACTTCACCCCCGGTACTGGTAGCAGATACGTGTAATTTTATGTAATTGTATTCCAAATATTAGTGAAATGGCTCCTACTGTAAGTGAATTTCTTGTACGAAATTCATTAAGCAGCCAAGTGAAAGAAATTTTATGCAAATTGAATACGTATTTTAAAGGTGTGAACGAAAAGTTTTTAGTCTGTTTTTATTTTGTAATTTTATAAAGTTTGTCTTTTTGTTGTATTTTGTAAGGCTGGCTGGACGCACTCTCTATAAACGGTGCTCGCAGAATATCAGCGTCGAGGTACTTCGTGCCTTGGCATATGCTGAGCGAGGACCTGTTTTTATTTATTTATTTATTTAAAAGGATGTGTCAGTGTCGTTACATCGGCCCAATTGGTAGCAAGTATTTTATAGACTTCCTTTTAATAAAACATTAATTTTATTTGTATGTGTTTTACTAACTGTACTTTTGGCGATCACTCACACAAATGCAATTCTCAGCTTAAGTTGATAGGACTGTACGTGGATATCTGTTATTGTCTTTCTTCCATAATATTAACATTGTTCTATCATAAATAAATTAAACGCAACACATAACAAGACAACCCTAGCGCGACGGCCGAGCGCAGGTATGCAAAGCGAAGTACATATACAAGGTGTCCCGTAATGTAACGTCAAGCCGGAACTGGGTGTTGAGGCAAGTTATGCTGGTTATCAAAAAAAAAAAAAAAATCTATGTGGCATTTTGTCAAAATAATAGGCATTTAAAAAAAAACAAAAAATTCTACTCCCGGTGACGGTCTTTTTACTCGTGTTGCCACAAATCTTCACTTTTTATAAATTTTTTTTTGTTATGTAACCCTGAATAATGCTTCTCTAAATTGTTATCAAAATTATAGCCTGACCAGGAACATAAAAACCCTGGCATAGAGGNGGATAGCCAAAGCAATGTACGCAAAAGAAACTTAAGGTCACACAATTTTATTGTAAACAAGTATTCTACTTTTTGGCCCTTGGAGGCGATAGTAAAATTTAATTTAATTGTTCGAACCCCGAAAATAAAATATCTATTTAATTTTATTTCTTGTTTTTTATTCGTTTCGTGTTCTGAATGGGACATAAAATCCCTATAGATCGTTTCATCCACGAAGACGCGCCCTACCAATTTTTGGTCGATGGAAGTGCGGGGTGCGGGGAGTTTGATCCGAGCAATCCGAGCGTCTTTATTGTAGTTTGCGTGTGCACTCATGGATAATAACGGTACCGGTAAACACTCAAACATTAGCGGAGAATGGTGGGGCGCGTTTTCGTGGATGAAACGATCTATATCAAACTAATCTGCGCGTCTTGTGTCACCCCCTAATGCTTGGCACCCGGGGCGGACCGCCCCCCCCCCCCCTTACGCCGTTACTGCGCAGATTCCAACGTATATAGTTTATGTAGAATCGACACGGACGACAGCTGATGCATCAAGCTAAGACCTACCCTACACAAGACCAATAGTCGCCATCTTGAAATTTAGGCCCGATTTACACCAAAGAGAGAGGAAGCTGAACCAGAGTAAATACAAACGATTAGGTCATCTTCATAGAAATGCACGGGCGCGGTTTGTATGTGAGCGCGCTAATATACGTATGCGGCGCGCACGCACACAGTGACAAAATTCGGCGCACCTACGACTGGCTCCCCGCTAAATTTTGTCAGTGTGTGCGTGCGCGCCGCATACGTGTTGGCCGCATATGAAGATAACTCATTTGTATTTACTCTGGCTGAACGGCTAGGTGATTATCTTCTTTTCGATTTAGTGGAAACTGAGCCTTATCATTATTCTCATAGGGCCGAAATTGTGAACTCTAATGAAACAACTAAATAATATTTTAAACATTTTTTACATCCTCAAACAGAACTCATATACAACAAAATTAAATAAGAAATCTTTAATTTATTCAAAATTTATTCTTTTATAATAAAATATAAAGAAAATGAAGATCTATAAACGCAAATAGAGTCACATATGATTTTGGTGCTAAGTAGATGTACTTATTTAATTTTAACAGTAAATAATGAAAATGTACAATATATTTATGTGAAGGGATTAAAATACTGTTTCAATGTGATGATTCAACTGACGATATGACTAAATCCCTTGTGAGAGTATAATTTCGAGTGCGTTTCAATCTCTATTTATACAGGTGATCGTTTGATCGTATTGCGTCACATGTAACTCTACCAGCGGTTCACACTAGTCTTATTCTGCTATTCAATAAGTTTTTTAGCCTTGAAGTACCGGCGAAGGTAGAGTACTTGCCACGTGGCCAGTCCAAGGAGACAGACCATTGAGAATATGCTGAAGAATAAGACACGGTTGTTGGTGGACTCTGAAAGAGAATGACAAAAGATACTGTTAATTAGACGTTTTTGTCTGCACTTTGATAAGCAGATTGTTGTAACCATGCAAGGATATTCATAGATTATCGCCTAAGACTAGATTAAGACCTATGAAACCTAGTGAACATTGCACTGCGAAAATCGTTCATATTTCGTGTCATACAAGGAAACCTCAGAACTAACATTTTTGAGGTGTTGTTAGCAATCGAACTCGCATACGAATCTGAGCTATTTTAAATGAAATACGAGATCAGAATACTTATAAAAGATATAATTTTTTTTGCAGTAACTTGAATACATGCAGCCAAAAAAAACTTATCATATTAATCTGGATTTACCATTTGTGTCTCTCATTTCCTCTTCTGCCTTCCTCATCAGAGTGAAGTCCTGCACAATGGCTTCTGAGAGGTCTTCCAGTCTTTTCAACTCAAGCTCCATAGGTTTCAACTTCGCTGCTTCAGCAATCTGTATGGACCAAAATATTGTTAGAGCTTGCATAAAATTGTTCTAAAATTCAAAGATTCTGTTATAAAATAACAAATGACATTAGTGATTTGTTTAGCTTCAACTACACCAGCGCGTGATTGCGCCGGCTATGGCAATATGCACGCACTGATTTGGTTGAAGCATTATATTGTTGAGTGCTCACAATAACAAGTACATAATTACAATAATACACAAGGAGTGGAAATAACAGGGACGTAAAACATAGCAAAGTAAAATTCAATCAAATAACTCCATAGCAATCAGTCAATACACACAAATCTCAATAAATAACACAAGAAACCTTGATTTTAGTGAACTCATTTACTAGAATTAATCTAGATTCTAGCAGATCTATTCCTTGACGCCATTCCATATACAAATTCTTTATTTGTCTAATAAAGGTATTTGAATGTCAACTATAGCACTACCACCAATTTAGGACAATAATATCAGTTAAAGCCTGGTCCGTGAGCACGTAGAGTTTTGTCCAATGACCCCAAGCTACCCATCCTTATCGCTCGCGCGTAATTATGTTGCTATCGCGCTCGCACACTCACTGCGGGCGCCCGTCGCACAGTCGCGACAGCAATATAATTACGCGCGAGCGATAAGGATGGGTAGCTTGGGGTCATTAGACAAAATTCTACGTGCTCACGGACCAGGCTTTAGTGCTGTGAAGTATCTGAAACACTCCAAATATCAAAGAGTAGCCCTGCTGTTATGCTTGTTAATCAACTTCATAGCAGTTTGTAAGTTATATTCCTAGCCTTGTGGCTACATCCACATCTTATAGCACTATTAGCTAGCACTATTAAATTATTATTAGCTAGCAGACTAGCACCCTTAATGCTTCAGCCACACCAACGCGTGCAGGTCGCCATGTGATGTGTCTGCACGCGTTGGTGTGGTGTGGTTGAAGCTTAACACAAGCATATAAGTTTCTTACTTTGGGGCTAGCTGGTGCTGTCTGAAATTATCCAAAGATTTATAATGGAATGGTAGGTTAAAATGGTGATTATGTGCAATAAAAATAAATATCAGTACATTTGGTAGTGTGTGAGTGAATTCAGTTACAGGAGCAAACCACTCTGTTAGTAACTATTGCTTTTATAAAACTTACTACCCAAGAGTTCTGGCATTTGCAGTTTGACAGAGATGAACCATTGACAAAGAAAATAAATTAGCAAACATGAATATAAAAGCATTAAGCCTTGGCCATTAAAAAATGAAGAAATATGCAAGACTGAAAATACAACTTTATTTATATGTTGAATTATGTTACTTATTTGTTACACTAAGCAGAAATTAAAAGTTACTGTAACAATACAGTAAATAGATAAATGTTGCAGAAATTATGGTTGGCCAAAATAATAAAAATAAAGAGAGAAATAACTAAGGTCAAAATCTAGGTAAGAACTTACTCCTTCATAGTTTTTGGCTTCAATTCCAATTTTGATATCAAGAGTGACATCTTGAGAGACACCACGGCGTTCTGTAAGGTAAACAAATTTTTATTAACATTTCATAAGACTTTCTCAAATAAGTTTTTTCTCAGGAAATCTAGGTCCTTCATTCACTACCTTTAAAAGTAAAAACTAAAAGGTTATAATAATTACTTGTCAATGAAAATACCAACACTTAAATAATATGTAATGAAGATACAGAAGAACAGTTTTAATAGCATTATCAGCAGGACAATTTCAATATAAAACTTGTACAAAAAATAAGTTTGTTTATGAACTTTTTTTTTCATTCAGTCTAGGTCTTACCTGGTGGTACTTTAGATTTGAAGCAGACCTCAAACGTGTCGTAGGTCTCTGTGACAAATGAGAATTTTCCTTTAGTTATTGTGTCTTTCTGTGATAGTATGTGGCCTTTTGAATCTCGAATCTGCAAAAGGAAAGATATTACACGATAAGTTAAATGTATTCAGTTAATTCCATGATGTAATGAGGTTCTAAATAGCTTATTTGGGATATAACCTATCAACTATCACAAGTATTTTCTTACAAATTGATAAGTTTGTGGAAATAGTTCTTTTGGCTTTCTCTAACTCAAAAGATCATTGATCCTAAGCGATGGAGCTTCGAAGCCGGCTGCTCATTTTCATAGAAACAGTCCATTTGTGTGTAAAAAACAGGGTGCATATCTCCGTTTTGTTTCGAGCCTGTTTAACTTACAATGTAGTCGACTTGCTGCCCGGCAACTTCTGTAACCTCATATTCGCCTGCCACGAGAACTTTTGCGTGTAATTCCTCCTTCAGACACTTCTGTGTGTTGGGAGCGAGGCTCCACATGATTGCTTCACTTCCATGCCAGAGCACACTTAGAAAAAGTATCAGAGAGTACACGTCCATTTTATTAACTAATACTATTACTTATCGAGCACTAAATAAGTCAGAATTCATAACATACAGAACTGAAAATAAACATATTTCTGTGTCAAAAGACCGATGAGTTGGCCCGAAAAGAGAAACGTCAACGAATCCGGGCGTGAGTGGAAAGATAAAAATTGCCAGAAAAAAAAAAGTTATGAATATCGCTGGTTGCAGCCATGAAGCTACAGATTGCAGGCATTGCAGCACAGATGAGACTGGGTTGCAGATCCAGCAGACAGAACCCAGATCTAAATTGTAGAGCAGCAGACCACTGCTACAGTGGCACTTAAAATCAGAAAGATTGCAAATTGTCGTGTTTCACTGGTTATCCATAATTATTTTCAGGTGAGAACTTAAGCACACATAGCAAAACCTAACTGCGATGGTTGATTTGGGTAGTTTTGTAATGTATTGGTGTTAACTTTTCATAGATAACATTACTCCCTGGAGAGTGATGATGATGATGAAGAAAAGATGATGATGAAAGTAAATAAAGAAAAAGGCCGTATTGACTAAGTCCAAAGCCGTAAAAATGTACGATCACAGCATAGACAATGACAAAAAAAGAAGAAAAATAACAATTTTATAACCTAAAAATCAGGATCCAGCTAATCAGGAACTTGAAATTTTATAAATATAAACAGTAACTTAGTTTTACAAGTTTATATTAATTAAATTTAACTTATCAAGTCTGTCATATTATACTCTACCTGTAACAGCATCAGATAATTAACTAGTGGTCATTTTATGAGTTTGACATTTGGCCTGGTTTTGTAATTCCAGAAATAATTGTTTCCACTGAATTATTTGTGGTTAAATCGCTGAAACCCATGACTATTCGGCTGAAATAATTCTACAAATGTTGCTTGGTTAACTGTCGTGTAAGTATTTAAGTTTCTCAAAATTTATGTATGTTTACATAATACAAGTTTTACATTGGATGTGGTAAGGTCCTATTGTTCTCAAAGTTTGTAATATTTGGAAAGAAACATTACCATAAAGCATAGTTCAAATTACGCTACGCTTTTCTTTGAATTCTAAGTATTTGAGCTATAACAATCTTGCTAAAGAGCTTCACTATTCATTCGAGAGAGCAATAACTTATTTGATAAATTTCTCCATCTGCGAGTGAACTGTTTCTGATGATGATGATGGTGATGATTGTTCAATATTGTAAATGATATAATTACAAAGTTTTGCTGTATCAAACTAGTGATAAGAAACATGGTTTGCTATGGTGATAGATAACAACAGTAAATAAATAATACTCTGTTGTGCTCACATAGTGGGTATACAGTACACAGAAATAACAACACAGAGTTGAAAATGTAACTATGTACCTAGTTAAATTACTGGTAGCAGTCTACTAGAAAACATACAAAAAAGAGAAATGAACATTTAATTCCTACAGAAAAATAATTTTATAAGGACCTCTTGTTTTCTATTAGGACTTCTTACCTTTGTATTTCTGTTTGGATTACAGAATTTATTTAAAAATTATAAATAATCATAATTAGTTTTGAAAATATAGGTACACAATACTAAAAGATGCCTTTTTTGCAACTGGTATCACAAAACAATACAGTATTTGAAATGTCGGTTTAACTTAGACAAATACTTAAATTCAAATCAAATCATTTATTCAGGACTTAGGCCCTTTCCAGGGCACTTATAATTTTTTTTAATTTTATTTTTATCATTACACATTGGTTTATTAATTATAATAAATAAATAAATTACTTTCAGCAACAAAATATCGTTTTCTTAACTTTTCTTTTAACTTGATTAATGAAGTTAAGGAGTATTTGTTTTGTTCAGGAAATTTAATTGCACAGTCATCGAATGGCACATATTAAATCATCACAAGATGCCACAGCCCAGCTTGATGATCAGTACTAAAGTTTCCTCAAGTATTTTTCATATTTTTAACAATTTCACTTGACATTTCCAGGCCTATTTCAGCTATGTGCAGCACCAGTAACCCTGACAATCCGAACCAGTCTGCAGTGATATGTGAAGGGCAGCCAATATCATCCGGGGCCACGATTTGATCTGATAACTGAGGTAAGGAACAGGGTAGTTGATATCCAATTGACATACTTTTAAGGAGCTATCAAAACAAAATTGGTTTTGTACGGCAATAAATAATGCATAGATTGATCAATGAATTAATTCATAAAACTTATTATTCAAGCCAAAATGGTGTCAATTACCTATTTATTTATTTTCCATAATGCATAATTCTACAAAGATGAACAATATTTTTGTTCAATTTTATTATTAATCCTTATCCAGCTACTGTGCTTTTACTGGAGCTATTAGTCACAAAATAAACTTTTGGGGCATCATTATTTATACAGTGTGAGTCACGTTAAAGTGTACATATGAAAATAGATTAAACTAGACCTATTTTTATCGACAAAAAAGTGGTCAAAATTTTTTTTGAGATTTTTTTTTAATTTTTTATAGATTTTTTTTTTCTTCCAATTACTTATTGTAAAGAAAACGTAATAACTTTTAAACTAAGCGGTATATCCTGATAAAATAAAAACAGTAATAATGCTAAATAACAGGCGATACTAAAAAAATACATACAATACACAAAAAATGCCAACAAATAATAAAAAATGTTACTTTTTGAAAAAAATCTGCTTAAAAATTCGTGTTTTTTTTGTTATTTGATAAATTTCTCCAAAAAATGCCCCTATAACAGGTAGTTTTTATTGTTTTGTATTATTCTCTATCGTATTACCTTTGNATGAATACAATTGATCATTGATCGTTTACCTAAATTTTTAACCATTCCATGAAGACCGAAAAGTGACCGGTCGCGGTCGTATAAAAACATTTTATGGATTTGCGTTTTATTATCGAAAAACATTCGCTAAATCTCATTTTTTTAACAAATAATAATCTAATTCATGTTTAAATGCAGTTTATGACATAATTATTAAATTGTCACTATTAATATTTTTTACTGATTAACCTGTAAAAGTTAATTCTACAATTTCTGAAAAATCACCTAAAAGTAACCTTTTCATTAGTGTAACCTAAAAGTAACCAATGCAGGTCAAAAGTAACCTAAAAGGTTACAAAAGTAACCTTCTGGCAACACTGGAGCAAGTTGATGTGGAATTTTTTCTCTATGGTCTTAATTATTTCAGTCTATACCTACCCATTTAATTAGAATTTAAATTATAATTTAGTAGATAGAAAATATCTGGAAAATAAGTATTGAAATCCACCTGTGATTTTTTGATTAATAATATAATAATCCATAAGAAATTTATAAGAGATACTAAACTCTTAACCTACCAAAAACAATAGATAATCATGCTTATTCTTGCGCGCACCACTCGTAACATTTTTCCTTCAAGAAATTCAAAGTATCAATCATAGATGGCGTTGTAAGTCCGATATGTTGTGATCCAAGCTAGACGGCGCGTGTTGGCATATTGTTGGATAAATAAATCAGTGCTAGTAAGGTGGACATATAAAACAATATTATTATGTGTGTAGAATTCACTTATATTATCTTAAAAGAGAGATACCTTTTTTTCCAAAACATAAAGCACAAAACTCTTTGTATACTTTTTTGTTGATGAAATTGAACAAAGAATTAGTAAAGTATCGGAAATTCAAACAGGAACACCCTGTGTAATTTGATTTAAAGCCAAATGCTTTAAATTGACCAGGCTTCATTTCCAGTTTACAGCCAGTAAAATACTTCTGAGCACCTGGCGCCCAATATACTGTTATTATCGAACTTCCACTGCTTTTTTTTTACGTCGGGAAATGCTTTGCGCATACCCACTGGTTGATGGGGACGGCCAGTGGGTTATGTGGGACTCTCCCTGCCTACCCACTAAAACCCGACGGTTTCCATCAGAGCCCAAAGAAACGGAGCCCAAGTTGGACATTCGTCCGTAGCTCCGCCTCATGCTAGCGAGCCTCTCCGGCTTCGAGGGAACCCTCTATCCCCTCCTCCAGTTGTTTTTTATAGAGTTTTTCTCCTCGCGGCCCTGGTACAACAGGACCCCCGGCCCGCCGTAGCGGGTTACGGTCTGCTCCATGCCGCTGCTCAGTCAGCTCTGCTGATCAGAGAAGTACCGAGAGCGGCCCTCCAAAGAATGGGCCTGGACAAACGCCAGCCCCCCACCTGTGGGGTTTTTTTTAAATTTTTTTTATGCATAACAAGGCAGGTATTTCACCACAATAGCACCTGATGTTAGGTGGGCTGTCAGGATTAGTCTAGGATGGTACATATCTGCCCTGTAAGTGCCTATTCACTCATGCCTTGAAGTTTTTAAAGATGTCCCCTGCATCGTGGCCCGGGTAAATGCCTCGACGACCCCCGGCCCACTCAATTGTGGGTTACGGGTTGCCCGACAGGCCCGCCGAGTTGACGAGACCTGCCGCGCAGGTGAGAGGTTAGCCGCCCGCGTGAACAGACCACGCGGACGTTGCCCAGGGTGCACCACGAGGAGGTCCCTCACCATCGCACCCTGAACTTCCACCGCCTAGCCCAGCTAGAATGTGTGATAAGAGTTGGCCTAAGCGTCCTCTTCTAAAATCTTTTTGTTCTGTGTGCGTCGGGACTGAATAGTTTGGATTTTGAAAGAAAAAGCTACTGAATTACAAACAAAGTACAAAAAGTTAATTCCTAAAATATCTCATCATCTCATGGCCATGATGGAATCTCAATTGGTTTATTTCCGGTGATTGAAAGAATTTTCAAATTCTCAATTAGTACGCAAATATTCTAAAGGATTTCTTTATCTTAAAAAATTGAACCTAAGGTGCATTTTACGGAGCATTCTTTGATTGATGGTTTGTGTGTACCTATATGAATACATACACAAAAAAAACCTGAAATTAATGTTACGGATGTACCTAAATTCGAATAAGAGGAAAAACAACCTCAATTTCAAGGTCTACCTGAGTTCTTTGGGTCAGCCAAAAAAAGGTTGCATATTTCATCAAATCAACGCCTTACAAATTAAGAACAGTAAAATTATCTTTTTTGCTGCCAGCCAAGTAAAGATTTTATACAAATAGAAGTAACAACCGAAACAATAATTGATTTATTCATAAAATTGGGGCGAGAAATGATCCCTGAGGTGTTCCCGAAATTTTGGGTTTTGCTTGTGTTCATATTTGACTAAAATATTATACTTATCTTATTGTTTATTGGCATTTAATTCTTATAAATAGNCTTATCTGTAAACTCCAAATCTTTCCAGTACCCACTGACATAATTTTGATGCAGTTTTAAAAATGTTAAAGCCTCCAAGTTTTCTGTAACTAGACAGTGAATAACAAAGAACAATTTCCAAAATGAAAAAACAAACTCATAGTCGTGTAGGCTGTTGTATTTATTAACAGATTGTTTTTTAAAATTCACTTAATTTGCTTAAAGAAAACTATTTAACTCCATTAATGTACTATCAGAGTAATGCCGTTCGTGGAAGTGAGGAAGATTTTGCATGTTTATTCAAATCAACTTTTTTCTTTTAACCTACATTTTAATTTGCCTTGTTCTCTCGTAAGTTGTGCGAAATTCACTGTTGTTCATTTACATTTCTTTTGGAAATAATTTCCAAATTGTTCAGTTTATTGACATATTAAAAATATTTCCTTATTNCCAGTACCCACTGACATAATTTTGATGCAGTTTTAAAAACTTTAAAGCCTCCCAAGTTTTCAGTGAATAACAAAGAACAATTTCTAAAATGAAAAAGCAAACTCAAAGTCGTGTAGGCTGCTGTATTTATCAACAAATTGTTTTTTAAAATTCACTTAATTTGCTTAAAGATAACTATTTAACTCGCTCAATGTACTAACAAGTAATGCCGTTCGTCGAAGTGTGGAAGATTTTACATGTTTATTCAAATCAACTTTTTTCTTTTAACCCACATTTTAATTTGCCTTGTTCTCTCGTAAGTTGTGCGAAATTCACAGTTGTTCATTTTCATTTTGNTATCATAGCAAATGTTGTGATAGGGATAGAGACATGCAATTTTTGGTTTTACAAAGGTAATACGATAGAGAATAATACACAACAATAAAAAACACCTGTTATAGGGGCATTTTTTGGAGAAATTGATCAAATAACCAAAAAAACACGAATTTATAAGCAGATTTTTTTCAAAAAGTATCATTTTTTATTACTTGTTGGCATTTTTTGTGTATTGTATGTATTTTTTTAGTATTGCCTGTTATTAAGCATTATTATTGTTTTTATTTTATCAGGATATACCGCTTAGTTTAAAAGTTATTACGTTTTCTTTACAATAAGTAATTGGAAGAAAAAAAATTCTATAAAAAATAAAAAAAAAATAAAAAAAATTTTTTGCCCTCTTTTTTGTCGATAAAGAAAAATAGGTCTAGTTTCATTTATTTTCATATGTACACTTTAACGTGACTCACACTGTATTAGATGCCCTTTTTACCATATTATAATTGTAATGTTATTTGAAGATTAATTTAATTTTCATAAAATGTAGATGAAATTATCTGGAACAGTATTAGCAAGTCAATGTGGATTTTTTTCTCTGTGATCTTGACTATTTCAATCTATGTATTGAAATCCACCTGTATTTTTTTTTCTAACTAGGTAATACGGACATTTTAATATTCACAGCAAAAAGAAGAGCTCTTGATTGATAATATAATAATCTATAAGAAATATGAAAGAGCTACTTTAAAACTACCACAAAACAATAGCCTTATTCATACTTATGCTCGCGGGCACCACTCGTAACATTTTCTTCAAGGAATTCAAAGTATCAATCATAGATGGCGTTGTAAGTTCGATATGTTGCGATCCAAGCTAGACGGCGCGTGTTGGCATTTTATTATTGTTGGATAAATAAATCAAATTAATAAGGTGGAAATACAATAAAGTATTATTAAGTATGTAGAGTTCACAAAAAGAGATGTTTTTTTCCCAAAACATAAGATACAAAACTCTTTGTATACTTTTTTGTTGATGAAATTGAACAAAGAATTAGTAAAGTATCGGAAATTCAAACAGGAACACCCTGTGTGATTTGATTTAAAGC